CTAGCTCTTTTAAAAGTATTATCTTAAGGTTAAAAAATCTTGCTAGTAATATGGCTAAGTGGGTATTAATAAATATTAATCTATTTGCTCTAGTGTTAATTAATACTTTAATAGATATTAAGTATATTTCTTAGGTAAGTTATATAGATATAATAAAACTTTCTTTATTAAATTTTATTAACTGTCTAATATCTAATTTATATAAATTAATATAAACTTTATCTAAGATAGAGATTTTTTCTAGATATTGTTATTTTTCAAATTAGAATCTTCTTTTTAAGTAATAACCTGCTTGTCCTTATCCATTGTTTTAAGTTGTCTAGTGATATTATTTTTAGATTAGCTATTTTTGAGAGAATAATTGCTAGTTTAATATCTTTAGATCTTATAATAATAGCATTTTCTTTCTTTAAAGAATTTAATATATTCTTTCTTACTTAAGTAGTTATATTATGCTCTCTTGCTATTATTATTAGAGCTGCTGCTAATATTAACACTAGATTAATTATATAGTATTTCTGTAGTTTAATCTTCTTTATTATTATATAAATAAATATACTTTTTAATTTTCTAAATCTACTCTAAGTGATTAGTTATCTGAGTATATTAAGTTATAAATTTAAAATAAAAGATATTGTTATTATTTGTCTCTTTAATTATTAATTTTATTAACTTAAAGCTTAGTTTATTGTATAATTTATTTTTCTATTATATATATAAGATCTCTGATTCTTAGATATAATATATAAATATTAATAAAAAGATCTAAAATTAGTTACTTGGCTTTATAACTAGATAATAAAATACAGCCTTTATGTTAATAACTTAATTTATATTATAATAGATGGTCTTAAGATATTTAAAAATATCTTTAACATCCTTATATAGTTTGGCGGCATTATCTTAGAATTAAGGAAGAATATGGTTTACTATTTCTCTATAGTATATGCATTATATATATACCATATAGATCAAGGAGTCTAGATAATAATTAATATTAGCCTTCAGTTTATCTTTGACTCTAATAAGCCAGGATTTAAAGAAGAGATCTTTTCTATTAGTTAGAGCTGGTCTATTAGAAAATTTAATAATCTTTTTACTGCTATCTTTAATAATAAAAAAGAATTCTTTAAGACTTAGTTTAATAAATCAATATTATAAGAGATCTTGTTCTTCTATTAATTCTTTTATTACTTTATACTAATTTATAATAATCTTTTTATAAGTGTTTTATTACTTCTCTAATGCATTAATTTGATATAGGTTCTTATACTATTCTTATATCAATCAACTAAATAGTATAGCTGGGTTCTTATCTATATACTTCTTAAATGTCTTATATTTAATATTCTAAGGTTCTTATTCTTTATTATCTTCTATTTCTAGGGGAAGATACAACAGATAGTATTTATCTAGCTTCTCTAGTGCTAGCTTAAGTGATTGAACTATTTTAATTTCTAAGTCTAGAATCTAGATTTTAGTTCAAGAATAATAAAATAAGAAAAAGGGTAATCCTGAATTAAGCATATTAAGTTATTTAGGATTAGGATGTTAGTCTATTTATAGATTTATAAGGATTAATATTAATAAGTAAATAAGAGTTTAATCTAATATAATAATGTAATGCTAAATCTATTTAGTTATTAAACACGAAGAGACTAAACTGGAGAGAAAAAGAGGAAAGAATAATTATTAGCCTCCTTCCTTCTATTTATACTTCCTTCTATTCTAGATATCTATAAACTATCTTTGTTGTATGCCAGTGCCTAGTAATCTAGATTTCTAGAAGATTTTAACAATATAGAATACTAGCTGATAAAGGCCATTTACTCTTTTTAATATCACATAGATTCTCTGATAATCTGTAGCATGAATTAAAATATAGGGTAATCCTCACAAGACATATCTAACCCTACATCTTCCCTGCATGTGATTCGTCTATAAGAGGCGGCCCGCGGGTACTTCCGCAGTAACTGTGTGCCGCCAAGCCAAATCGTACTAGGCCGTCACAATTATTAGAATTTATGATGTTATATTTAATAAAGACATATTTTTTGACTTATTTTAGCTAATTTAATAATATAATTTATAGAAACCTATTAAGTTTAAAGAAGTATTTAATATTATTCTAAACTTAGAGAGTGATCTGATGGAAGAATTAGAATTAGATAAAGAGATTACTGAGAAATTAGAAAATGTATAGAAATCTGCTGAGTAGACTATTCTAAAAATATAAAAAAAAGCCTCTGAGGAATTATATTTAATATATCTTCTAATATTATTGATAGTTAATTTTAGATATAGACAATTCTTAAATTTATTATTAAATTAATCTACTCAAAATGAGGAATCTCAAATATCTATATATAATTAAAAAAATGCTTACTTACTTACTCTAAAATCCCTATCTCCTGCAGAAGAGGCTATTAGTGTATTATGTGATTATAATATTAAAACTAATATATAACTCTAAGCTAAAGTTTAATTATATAATAATTATAAGTATGCACTTAGATATAATAAGATTTCTATTGTGCTTAACACTTCTAATATTATAGAAGGCAAGAGAAGTTGTAAACTAAAGATTAAGTTAAATATAAGGTCTTATTTTGCTACTTTTAGTACTATATTAGGTATTTAGAAAAAATTAAAGGATAGTTCTTTGCACTTATATTAAAATGAGCTTCTTGAGGTTTTAAACTACTAGAAAGATCTCTTTAAACTGTCTTAAACCTATTGTGAAGGATTTATAAAGATTATAAGGAAGAAATATTATATTTTATTAGAAAGAAGAATATTTAAAGAGGTAAGGGAATTAGATATTGATCTAAATCTTAAATATATTAAGATTTTGTTCTTATATTAGGTATTTACTTATAAACTAGATAGTGATGGTTATTTAATATATTATAAGACACGTCTCTATGTTAGAAATGATATATAGCTTAGCTGGGATGATGTTTATATTATTATAATAAGTATAAGAATAATCTGTTATTTATTATACCTTGTAATTGTTTTTGAGTATAAAATAAGCTAATATAATATAGTTAATATCTTTCTGAATGCTCTAATTAATAAAAAATATTTTTTTATATACTTTTCTGAAGGTATTAAGGGGAAGAATAGATATGTATTAAAGCTATTAAGGGTATTTTATAGCCTTAAACAATCTTTTTAACTGTGGTAAAAAGAACTGGCAAAAATGTTCTAGGAATTTAGTATAAAATAATGCTTAGATAAGGTGTGTCTCTACTTAAACAAATATCTTATTATCTTCTTTTTTATTAATAATGTTATAATGCTCTATAAACTAGAAAATAAATATTATTATATCTTATTTTGGGAAAAGGTTATAAATAAATATAAAGTTAAGATGCTTAGAGATGTTAAATGGTTCTTAAGTATAAGAATTATTTAGAATAAAGATATAGGGACTATTTATCTATACTAGGATTCTTATATTAAGAAGATTATAAAATACTATAACCTATCTACTAATAAACTGTTTATAATGTTAATAATTATTATTAAATTAATATTCTATGAAGGTAAAGCAACACCTTCTCAGATTACATTTTATTAAGGAAAAATAGGATCTGTGTTATATACAGTAATTATAATAAGATCTAATATTATCTATGCAACTTTCTATTTAAGTATGTTTATGTAAAATCTAGTACTGGCTTATATGAAGGTTATTAATTATATACTTCTATATCTTTACTATATAAGATTCTATATGATATACTTTATAGGATTATTTGGAATTAATCTGGTTTATATAGTAAGTGATGCAGCATTTACTGATTATCTAGATTAATATAGTACTGGGGTCTTCCTTTTTAAACTATTTAAAGGTCTAATTGACTAGATTTTAAAGAAATAGAGAATTGTTACTATATTTATTATTGAGGCTGAGCTTCTTACTTTATCTAATATAGGAAAATAGCTTCTTTAGTGGGAATAATTTTTTAAAACTATTAAATTTGATATTAAATAGGGTCCTTTTATTATTAAATATAATAACTATTAAATAGTATGTTTAATAATTAAAAATGAAGCAATTTAAATGCGCCTTTGCTATATTGATATTTATAATTATTGGCTATGCGAAAAGGTGTAAGATTAATAGATTAGTATATGTTAAATTAATATTAATAGTATGACTGCTGATGGTCTTATTAAACCTTTCTTAATTAAGAAGCATAAAGCCTTTGTTAAGTACTTAGAAATAATTGATATAAGTTATTATATTAAACTCTAGCTTGATTAGAAGCTTTACTAGCACTAATAAGATGTTTAATATAAGGAATCTTTACTAGGTCTGGGAAGATAGCTTACTTAGTAAAATAACTAGCTAGTACAGCTTTCTATACTTTTTCTTTTCTTTTTATTGGTTCTTAGTTTAATTTTTGAACCTATCACTCTTTTTATTGCTTTTTAATATTATGTTTTTATATAAACTATTAGATATTGTCTTTTTTCTTTTGCTTTATTCTTTTCTATTTTAGATTATATGCTGGAGGGGTGTAACAGTGGATTATGATTGTTATTCTGAATATAGTATATAATCTATAATTAATACTGTATTTCATAGAGGTGCATTTAATTGGTCAGAATAGGCATCGGATACGTGTCTTAGTTGACCCCTATTCTGATCATAAATATGGCCTCAAGTAACCCCTGAATATTCTCTTTAGTTAGATATGCAGATTATATAGTATTCTCAATACTAGCTAATACAGCGTTCCGAATCCGTTGTTAATATCACATGACCAAGTACGTAGTTACTTTCCCCCTCGCCGATCATTGTTGACTTCTTACCCGATCTTGCGATGGACAGTTATTACTGCCCAATGCTCATTGCTCGCTCTCTGCGACAGTGACCCAAGCTTACTTTCTGAACACCTAGGTAAGTGTTGAAACAGTCTCCTGGGTGGCATTATTATAAGGTTCACTTTAAATCAGCTCTGGTTGGTTGCACGCCATCCTCGACCATGGTTCATATCCTGGACCTCCCGACGGAAGTCCTGAATCATATCCTTTCATTTATTGGAGATATTGAAGATGGGTGCTTAGAAAAGCCAGCAGATGGAGAGGCAAGGTTCGAAGGACGTACCGCGGCGGAATTGGAGAGGAACGACAAGCATCGCGAGGACGACGATGCCGATGACGATGAGTATAAAGACCTCCGTAATATCTGTCTCGTTTCGAGGATGTTCCGGCAGCTAGCCCAGCCTCTTCTCTTCTGTGATTTCGACGAAGATGGCTTATCCGGTGACCTGGGAAGGATATCATCTTTTACTGCAGCTATCTATCGCAATCCAAAGCTTGGAGAGCACGTACAATCTGTCTCCATATTGTCTATAGCACCTCCCTCTAAACCCAGGCAAATTGATGGAGAGTATTTTGTGCTTTTCAAACGTGCAATCAAGGACCTTCATTTGGCGGGCCAGGAAAAAGCCTGGATATCGGCTATGAAGAAAGCCGACCTCAGCGTCCTTATAGCGCTCCTGCTTAACAAAACCCCCAATATTCGTCAACTGGACCTTCCGGGGGAGCAATTCTCCACAACGCCATTCGCTAGTCTCTTCGATCGAAACCCGTCATTTCTGTCCAGGCTTGAGTATCTCTCGATCGACTGTGACGGCGAAATGATGGACTACAGTATTGCTTCCTACGAGAAATTCCTTACCCTCCCCAATCTCTTACTTCCGACCTTTGAGTACGGTGATCTCGACGACGCATCATTTCCATCGGCTTGGACACCTGGAACATTGACAATAGAGAAAGTGGACTTTGAAATGTGCCATATTGACGCTGGGGCCATTCAGAAATTCATGCAGGCGTGCAAGAAACTGAAGTACTTTTCCTATGACAGCTTTAGCATAGAAGACCCATTCACCCGGCGGACACCGAAAAATAGAGCCGCGATCGAATTTACAGCCGCGGAGGCTCAAAAGGCGGCCCTCCTACACAAGGATACCCTCGAGTGGTTTTACCTCGGATTTGCACGTAATCCTCAGCCGCCCTGGAGCCAGGTCAAGCTCGGTTCGTTCCGCGACTTCTCCGTGTTGGAGACCATCGCTGTCTCGCAGGCAATTCTTCCAGCACACCCTCAATTTCCACCTGCGCTCAAAACACTCCACATCACCGACTGCCTTGTATCTATTCGCGACGTGGCCCAGGCTATTGCGAACGATTGTAAACACGGGCTTTATTCCAATTTTACCGAGTTCAAGGTGATCACGGTGGATGTTACTCTGCCCATCAAACTCCCCGGGCAAATTAGCCCCCCAGGACAGACTCCGGAGCAATGCTTCCTCAGTCTGAGGGACATGTTCAAGGGAACGGCTGTAGACTTCCAGATTGCATCGTATAGAATGCCCGAGTTTGATGATGATGATGATGATGATGGATACGTCAACGATGGTGAGTCCATCGACTCCGAAACGTACGGGGCAATGCTTTCCGAACATCCAATGTTCCATTTAATTATGCAGCGGGCTCTGCAGGACCGCGACTTTAGCCCGTATGCTGCACGCGATGACTTATGGGAGACGGAGAGCGACGACTAGCCTAATCCAGGTCCATACTTCGCTCTTCAAATGATTGGGCTGCCCCTCGGATTGCGTGATCACGCGCAATCGCCAGTGGCCTGGCGTCATAGTCAACACGAGGGTATAAAATCCGGGGGTTATCGCTGCTACCCCTCACTCTACAGGCGCTCCAAATCCCAGAGCAGGGAGATAAAAAACATGGCGGAATTCATCAGTCTCACCTTTCCCAACGCTTCCACCGAGCTCAACCCGATCCCGAATGCTGGGATCGATCCGGCTTATCTGGTTCGCTACGCTCGCACTCTGGATGACTATGGCTTCAACTACACCCTGGTGCCTTACGATTCATCTTACTTCGACCCCTTCACGGTGGGCGCGACCATCGCCGCCGTGACCAAGAACATCAAGGTCATCATAGCCCTGCGGCCCAACACGCTTTATCCAACTGTGGCTGCCAAGGCACTGGCAACCCTCGATCAGCTCAGTTCCGGCCGCGTAGTCGTACACTTCATCGCCGGTGGCAGCGATGCCGAACAGGCAAAGGAGGGCGATTTCTTGAGCAAGGATGAGCGCTATGCACGCCTGGAGGAATACATCCGTATTCTGCGTCGTGCGTGGGAGTCTGCGGAACCCTTCGACTGGGAGGGCAAGTATTTCCAATTCAAACAGTTCAGTAATAAAGTGCGTCCAACCAATGGCACCAGCATCCCGGTCTCAGTCGGTGGTTCGTCGGACGAGGCGTATCGAATCGGCGGCTCGCTGGCCGATATCTTCGGGCTTTGGGGGGAACCTCTTAAGGAAACCAAGCAGCAGATTGATCGTATTTACGCCGAAGCCGAGAAGGCAGGTCGCACTGACCGGCCGCGCATTTGGGTGACGTTCCGGCCCATTGTTGCAGAAACTGAAGAGCTTGCGTGGGCAAAGGCGCATCGAACACTGGATGTGCTCAACGCCAATCGAGCCAACGGGCAAGGAAGAGTGCCTGCGAATGCGCCGCCTCCGCAGAATGTCGGCTCCCAGCGTCTGCTTGAAATTGCTGCTCGCGGCGAGGTTCAGGACCGCGCTCTCTGGTATCCCACTGTGACTGCGACTAACGCGCGGGGCGCGTCGACGGCGTTGGTTGGGTCACCGCAGACTATTGCTGACTCGATTTTGGATTATATTGATCTTGGGGCTGATCTCATCTCTATTCGGGGATATGACAACCTCAACGATGCCATTGACTATGGGCGCTATGTGCTGCCCAGGGTTCGGGAGCGGTTGGGATAAGTAGTCTTAAGTGAATGTAGACGTTTTTAGCCATGGTTGGGAAGAGCCAAGCTCGCACATTTTCTTTGTAGCACGTGTATATAACCGTAGGAGATCAGCAGGTGCAATACGAACAATTCTCTTAAGACCTCGTCTATTCTAAACCGAGAGAAGCAAGGTTTTCCCCTGACGCTAAGCTTTTCCCAAATCCCTTTTTCCTTTTCCCTTTTTTTTTTTTGTGTGTGTCATTTTCCAATTTCAATTGTGACGAGACGGACAAAGTCGCTGTCAACGTTAGCCTTGCTTTAGTGTCAGCACTACGCTGGACTATCTGCGGGCTTAGGGCCGGAGCCAGCGAATCTGCATCCGGAACGCTGTCGATCCTGCGGTTTGTTTACGGAGCACGTACTTGTACATACTGGACGGAGATTCACTCTTGGCTTGTGCTGGCAGAGAGTGAGACTACCAGCACGGAGTAGGCATGCACTCCGTATAGGTATACGGAGCGCACTGTATGTAGCATACGCAAACAGTCCCACGTCCTCGTATGAATGCTTCTGATCACAATGCATTAACTATTATTCAGCCCAACTCCACTTGCATCTAGTGGCGCGCACGAGGTGTATTTGCGTATTGCCCGGCCCTTAACGTATACTGTAGTCAGTCCATGTTTGGTAGTTAGGGAGTTAGCTGTGCAGAATCAGATTACCTATCTGGTACCGAGCTGGCGGTACGATCGTGCCACCGGTAAATATATATATAGTCTCTAATCATAATATGGGTATTCTCTTAAATTGATGCCTCTATTATTACGATCAGCTTATGCCCTATGGGCATGTGGACCCGGTGGGTTTACTTTGGGCGAACTTTGTGGAGAGCAGATACAAATCTGGCCAACTTCGTACTATGCCAAGTGATTAGTGGTCAACGGCCAAAGAAAGAATAACAAGAATTCGAACAAGAAAAAATCCAAATCCAAATCCAAAACAAAAAAGAGAGCAGCAAGCCAAAATTACGGAGGTTGTGTATTAATACCACGCCTTACCGGCGCGGTACCAGGGCAGGCGCGCTGATTGGCCATTGTAGAAGTAAATTCCGGCAGAATCCGCTCGTGCCGCAGTGGGTTACCAAGCAAGCTTAGGTCCTTTGTCCAGAATACGAGCGAGTCAGAGCTGTGACGATGCACCACGCCAATTGGGCAGCGCCGCGATGCCTCACCAGACGCTGAGCGCGTGTCGTCTCCATCGCTGCAAAACTCTCTTCTTTTTGCTATTCATCTTCGTCTTGACACCTTGCACTCTGTCTGTACACTCATTTCGTTAGTCGACGTCGAGTTCCTGGCGGTGTTGAATTCTCAATCGCTCCCTCACACGATCACGGCGAGAGCATGTCGAAAACCCCCCAATCCTCAAGCACTTGAGCTCTTGATTGCATCCTCGCACTCGCTGAGACCGTGAACTATCCGCTCTTTATACTTCCAGCCTTGTTGTTGTTGCCTTGTTTCATTGCTTGCTATACCCCCAGAATCATATCTAATTCATAATCCTAATAACTGCCGCGCGCGAAGGACAAACCCGCCATGCGACATCGAGCATAGCAGGATATGACTCTCCTCCGCCTCGAAACAAGATCCGTCCCATGTTCATCTGCGGGCAGGTAGCATAGGCGTCATGGATCCGCCGCAGTCCCCTCCCAAATCGGCCATTCCTCGCCGCGGGCCTCCCCTCACGGCCATCCGCACCGACCTTGCTCAGCAGCGCCCTCGTCCAGTCCTACAGAAACCTCGTCCTCAGCGTCTCCGACCCACCGACGCCATCTCCGATCAGTCGCAAAGCGTGCCCCTGCAGCCCGATCCTGCGAAGCGCCAGGCTTCAAAGACAAGCTTGCGGAGTCTCTTCGCCCGGAACAAAGCTCTGCGCGACGAAAAGAAGCAGGACGCCACTCTTCCTGCGCTTGGTGAGAGGCGTGGTTCAGCCACGCCATCCACTGCCAATGTCCCTGACACTCCGCGATCAATCGCATATACCGTGGCGTCCGGCTCGACGTTGCCTACCTCATCCCAAGCTCCCACGCCCACTGAATCAAGTTTTAGATCCGAACAGCCAAGCAGAGCAAAACCCAAACCGGAGCCGAAATCCAAAGTCAATGCGTCCTGGGTCCCTCCGCCGCTATTCCAAGCGTATCCACAAGCATTGAAACATGCACGCCTTTCCATCCCCAACATCTCTGCCGATTCTATTCTCCGCATCCAGGCTACCCAAGGCAACAATCCTCAGCAGAGCGAGCGAGATGGCGCAGATCCCGAAAGTGCAGATAGAAACAAGAAAGAGGCTAAAGATAAAAAGACCGGCAGGCGGGGAGGCTCCAGTGCCCTGGGCAATATCATATTACTTAGCAAGATATTCGTTCTGGTAACCGCAGGCTATATATTGCAATATGCCGGGGAGGGTGGATATGACAGGCTGCCGGAGAAGGTGATGCGCCTTGGTCCGGCGTCGGCAGCATTTGCTAGTGATGCTATTCCCGGGAAACCCTATGTTTTGCAGATCTCGCAAAAGTCTAGCGACGATGGCAAGGCGCCGGCAACCGGTGGGCGAACATTCCTATCAAGATTTGGCCTACAAGGCGCCGAGTCGCGCCGGACTGTCCGTACATTTCTTGTTATCATGGCCAGTCCCCAGGAGATGAACTCTTGGTTGATTGCGCTGCGAAAAGCAATCGAGTCCCTAGGCGGCAAGAAATATATTCCAGAGTACGAAGGAGATGCTCTTGAGTCCCCCCTTAGCCCTCGACTCGCCACGCGCAATTCGCGGCTCTTTGTAAACCGCAAATCAAGCTTGCGGGAATCCAACCCTCCCTCGCCTTTGTTTGATACTTTCCAGCGACGTTCACCGGTGCCTTCTGTTCACAGGAAGAATTCGTATCAGGATGACATTTCCACTAGTTCAATCAAGACGGCCAATCGTCGCTCGCTCACCGCACCTTCTGATGCCATGTCTATATCTACAGCAACTTCTACAACAACAATCACTACCAATGCATTCAAAGACTCAGACGCAGTCTTTGAAAATCCTCGAGATCCTCCTCTTCCGACCCACAGAATCAAAATTACACCCAGTACCCCCGCAGAAAAGCCTCCAGTTGCAACCCCAGCTGTACAGCCATCTGCGACAGCCGCGCGACAGCTGCGCAGACCTACGCCGTCTGTTGCTGGAAACGGCAACCGGCGTTCCTATATCGCCACCCAGTCAGACAGTCAAGGAGAGACATTTCGTCGACCACCCAGTCTCGGCCGTCCACTATCGTTTACCAGAAACACCGCTCCCAGTTCGGAGAACTCATCTGCTGCTCCTCAAAACCACAGCGTTTCCGGCTCTGGCTCAAGGCTTTCTATGGTCCGTAAGAACAGCGCACAGATGATCTCATCAAATGATAAAACTTTACGGCAAATACCCAGGAGAGAGTCACCCCCGACAGTAAATGGTCACAGTGACGTACAAGAAAAAGACCCTGGCTCAAAGACAGACGCCGGAAGTGACTCGTCCCAAAACAGAAGAAAGCGACAGTCATTAGTCTCTCCCAGTCAAAGCTCGACTCCCGCTACTTCAGGTTTCAGGTCAATTCCTACAATCCTTCCTCGCAAATACTCCTTGACTGGACCAGAAGGTGCTGGCTCCTCAACTCCGAGATACTATCGGCAATCTCAATCGCCAGATCTAGGTTCTGCCTCTCGCTTGCCACAAACGCTTCCTCAGCCGAGCCAATCCCGACTCCCATCTGCTGCTCAGAAAAGTCGTCAAGTAAACCGGATACCGAAACTCGGTACTGAATCAGAGATCCCTTCGGCAACTGGCGGTAATCTTGCTCGGTTTGCCCTAGGTAATGACCGAGCAAGTAAAGTGTCTGCTGCTCCGGTGACAGCACGAGAAATCCAGTCTCTTCGAAGTGCGTCTGCATTGAGCCAGCAAGCACGCAAAATCTCAAAACCGACTTTGGACGAACAGCAACAAGCACATTCGTCGACTCCTGCGTCTTCACCGCAGACGCCAGGGACGACACCTCGAGAGGAGTCTAGTCGACGCAGTTCTCTGATAGCACCGCAGTCACAGCAAACGTCGCCACGCCAACGACGCATTCAAAACTTATCCTTATTACCACCAGCTCCTCCGCCAGACTGTCCGCTACCGGAAGTTCCGCCAAACATAGCCTTACGACATACTCCTGCACCGCAGAGACGACAACAGCAGCAGCAACAAAAACCACAGCTACCACGCCCATCCTTACCATCATCAACATTATCCACACCACCGCCATCATCTCTACCCCCTACTCCAAACGTTCACATGCGTCGCCGAAGCTCTGAATTGCGTTATTTGCATCAGCAAATGGCCAACATCCTAACCCGAAAACAGTCAGACGCATCAATCCCTACGTCTGCTTCTTCTTCTTCTTCGACTACCCCTACTGCTGCTACTGCTGCTCTCCCGGATTATAGTCCTAAATCTAATAGTGGTGCCGCCCCCTCTGAAAGCCCGTCACGAAGCTGAAACGGACTAAAAAATTGATAGATAGTTTTGTACATAATAAAATAGAATGTTACCTCTCTTTCTCAAAAGAGGTAAAATCATAAGTGCTGCGCACTGATATTAAATATGGAGAAACTCGTATACAAACAAGCCGCCCAATCAGCGTGCGGGCAGACCCGCGCCGTATCTCTTTCAATCGTGACGATTCAACTTCGTCTTCCCCCTATAATTTTCCAATGTTACTACAATATATAAGAATGGCCACTGATCCCGCCAACCTCCCTGCCGAAATATACCTGGACATCCTCTACGATGCATCCTCAGGCCAGCCCAACCAGGACCCGTTCACATGGCACCACAACACCCTCGTCCCAGCAGGCCTTTGCCTAGTCAGCCACAAATGGCGCTCAATCATCACCCCGCTGCTGTACTCACGCTATGAATTCGACGGCCACCCGCGGCGGGTGCGCAGTCTATGGCGGTTCTTTCGTTCGGTCGTGTCTGACCCTTTACTAGCTGCGGGCGTGCGGCATTTGAGCTTTGCAAGCTGTTCCGCTTACAGGAAGAATGATGATGATGATGATGATGATGATGATGATGATGATGATAGGGATCAAATCCCTACATACTATGCCGAACATAAGTCGCTCATTACACAGGCCATGCTCGATTCTGGCCTCTCGCGGGATTCGGAGCTAGATGCTCAGGCGCACCGAGCTCTGCAGGCTGGCGATTTTAGGCCTCTAGTTGCCCTGATTCTGGCTCATGTGCCCAACTTGACTCGATTGGAGATGCAGGTGGCCAGGTCAGATCCTTTCCTAGATGCGATTTTGGACTATTCGGTTTCGCTGGATGAGCCGGCTTGTGTTCCGACGAGGGTGGCGTTTCAAAATTTGACCAGGCTTTACTTAGCTGGTGCAAAGCTTCATGATGAAGAGGAGGAGTCGCCAGATTTTGCTGCAGTGTCTAACTCATTGGAGTGCCCGCTCTATATCAATCGCCATCGTCCGCTTGTGCAACTGCCCAAGTTGACGGAGTTGTTTCTACTTGGTGTGGAAATAGATGAAGATATAAGTCACTGGCACCCTTCATCGCGCATCTCTCATCTGGCCATGGTATATCCAGTCAGCAGCAGTCTGGAAAATTTGCGACTTCTTCTCGAACGCATGCCCGAGTTGGCGTATCTATCTCTTTGCCTCCCTTCCACAGACTCCAGTAACGTCTACAGACGCCACCAACAGCTATGGTCCGCTCTTCGCCCTGTGCGCACAAAATTGAAATATCTCGATCTCAACGAGGGTCTATCAAGAAACACATCAGGGAGCATCAGAACAGGAATGCATGATGATGATGGCCTCAGAAGCAGCAACAACGATGCTGATGACTCGTATTGCTGCCCACTGCGCACCTTCAGACAGCTACGATATCTCGCTATCACACCTCTACTTCTCTACGGCCACAAATGCCGACACGACGCAAAACTCGCGAACCACCTGCCCCTTTCCCTCGAATCCTTCGCGCTCTACGACTGGAACACCCCAATACTCAAAAGATTTCTCATCACAAATCTCGAGGACGAAATGGGGCTTATCGCGCTGACAAAGCCGACTATACCGCTAAACTCGATCGTTGTGCAGGCCGAGTGGCGGCCCACAAGCTATGGATTGCCGTATGCGAAGATGAAGTATTTCGCGGACCAGAAGCACGTCATGTTCAATACGGCGGCGAGGGATTTCACGTTTGGAGCTGGTGAGGATATGCCTTTTGCGTGGAAGGGATATCAGGCTGGTAGGGAGAGGAGACGGAGGGGGTATCGTGTGAGGACGAAACATACGCATGTGCTTCCGAGGGGTTTGGAGGTTTTTGGGTGTAGGGGGCGACTGGATGAGGATTGGATTTAGCCTTACCTTGTAGAATGAGTGTGTATATTATAGACTCCCCAACCGGGACTCAACCTCAGGCTAGCGATTATAGACACAGTATTGTATTGAATCTAGCTTATATTGAAACTGAAAAAACATTATCTCTAAGCTTTATTTAGCCGGTGAAAGCATCATCATGATGCAGCTATAACCCGATCTATGTACTCTAACAAACTATACAATAATCAGAATACAGTACTCAAACAGCTGTGCTCTTGTTTGACCTGGGAGGCCACTTGACCCTCCTCTCTGCACGAACATACAGATTGTTCGGTCTGATCAATTGGAACATTGGGTCGTACTCAATTGGACCGTCCCCTTCCCGACTGAACTTATAGCGGTAGATAAGCTTAGGCAAGAAGACCTTGATTTCCTGAAGGGCAAAGTTGAATCCTATACACATGCGCTGCCCCGTGGCAAACGGGATATAGGCAGCCTTGTGTCTGTTCTTGACCTCCTCGGTATCCCACCTATCCGGGTTGAAGCGAGCAGGGTTGTCCCAGAGTTCCGGGTTGTTGTGGATATGGTGAAGCGCGGGGATGATTACTGAATCTTTAGGCAGTTTATAACCCCCGGGCAGAATAAGGTCACATTTGGCAGTGCGCCCTGGCTGGAAGGAGGGATTGTGACGCCGCTGGGTCTCTTTGATGTACTTGTCGAGAAACTCCAGCTTATCTGTTAGATCCGCGGTCATCTGCGTGTTCTCGTCAAAGCCATGGTCAACCAGCTCTTGAAGGAGCCTCTCTTGCATCCCATCATACACGCAAAGACCGTAGATGAGCCATGAGAGAAGGGAGCTCGTGGTGGTGAACCCTGCTGCTGTAGCAACGACAAGAGCCCATACTAAGCTCGACTCGGGCAGCTTCTGGCCCTTGTTATCGGCGGCACGAACTGCATAGTCTGTTTCGTCAAAAGTTGGTTAGCTTGTCGTGGTACGAGGCTCAGGAGAACAATTCGGCTTTTACTGACCGACCATGTTGTCTGCTTTTAAAGCAGCGTCTTGTAAAGGAAGGTCCTCGACACCACCTCGCGTGGCGCTTTGGATTGATTCGCCAACCATCTCTTCAATGCGAGCTTTCAGGCCACGGAGACGCTTAGGGTCGCCAAAGGGCAGATAGTTGTACCAATCACCCTTGGACGTGACTTTCTTATTCAAGGAGAGCATTTCGGCAATGCTGTGGACCATCTCATGGAGAGGAGCATCTGGAGAACTGAAGTGTTCAAAGTCCAAGCCCAGAGTAAGCTTTCCCACGGCCTGAGAGCCTAGCTTCAGCATAAACATATAAACATTCCATGCTTCGCCTTGCTCATCGAAATGATCAAACACGGTGAATGCATCCTCGACAGTCTTCTGCATTGTTGGAGCATAGTGACGCACAGCCTTGGGTCCTAGGGCTGGCGGCAGGAACTTGTGGGCGACTCGCCACTCCTCAGTGTCTGTGTCACCGAGGAAGACGCCGGCGGAATCGTTCTTCAAGGCATACAGTGGGTGAGCTTCATTAATCTTCTTCGTGAAGAAATCTGATTCAGCAAAGGCAATAGCTGCGATCTTAGGGTCATTTGTTTGGTAGGTGGTACGACCCATGTTGGTGGTTTTGATAACGGGCCCGAATTGTTCAAAAAGTCGCTGGTGATTTCCAAGATGATCGGGATAGACTTCGAAAAAGTTGCCAAAGAAGGGCAATTTTCGGGGACTTGGAGGCTCACGAGCAGCGTGCCCATCGATCGTTATGGCCACCGGACCAGCTGTGGTGGCGATTTCCGAGGTCTCTGTGAGAACAGCAGCAGCATCATGACCTAGGAAATCAATGCCTAAATGATGGCGATTAGTATGTTACTTTGACGAGGAAGGCAGCGGCCACTCACCACTTGGGTCGGTAATGGCAAAATGAGCAGCAATCAAGAGCTTCAAGTCCTCCAAGCTCTGAGAAGCATCGACTTCAATAGCTTTGGCGGTGGAGGCATCTTCGCCTCTGAGGTAGAATGTCTGTGATGGCATGCTTGGATGCTTTGAATTCTTTTCAAGAAACGAGCTTGTAATGAACAGAGCGGACTTGCAGGCTTGAAGAGAATGTCTTATATGAGTTTCATTCTGTTCATATATGTTCATTCCTCGGTAACCCTCGCTTTCCGATTGGTCCAAATTACCTTACCTCGGGATAGATATCTCCGCTCGGAGAGTCGGGCCTGTAGAACGGGTTAGAAGACAAACGTTATAAGTATGAGTCTTTTAGACCTTTTAAGGAGAGAGGGGTATATCAGTTCCGTTTCCTTTCTTTCTTTCTTTCTTTCTTTCTTTCTATTCTTCTTATCAAGTTTTGCACCCTCATTGAAGTAATATTGTCTGCACTCTTTTCGTACTTTATCCTATTTCCTTTCCGGTCTCCTTTCTCTATTTGATATCGACGACATCCATCAGCAATCATGCCAAGCTTTACTATGGAAGATGTGGCTCGCCATAAGAGCAGAAGTGACTTGTGGGTTGTCATCCATGGCAAAGGTCGGGAATTCGTGTGATCCTCCTATGTCTCAATACCGCACTCTGACCTGGATTATCTATCTATAGTATATGATGTTACCAAATATGTACAAGATCATCCTGGAGGCCCAGACCTCTTGGTTGACGTTGCAGGCCAGGATGGGACAGCTGCTTATGAAGATGTCGGACACTCAGAAGATGCAGGCGAGATTTTGGGGACGTATCTGATTGGCGATCTCGAGGGTGCCATCGAATATAAGCGTCTCAACAAAGTCCGTGTTGTTAAGCAGAGTACAGTAGCAACCCCGGCCACGAAAGGCAAGAAAACCGGTGTTGGCAAAATCCTTGTCGCTACTAGTGCTCTGGCCGGATTGTTGTCATTATGCTACTCAATAAGGATTCCTACCAACCTGAGCATTCCTACCAACTTGCGCATACCAAACAAATTTCTTGAGCTCAGTTTGCCTCATGGCGGGTTCGTCAATGGATTCGCCGCTGCAACGCTGATTTCTGTTGTAGCTGGCAGTCTGGTGGCATCTCGTCTCTCCAAGCTCACCCAACTCGAGTCCGGTTTCACGAAATATCCTCCTCGCATTAAGAGCACGCCAATCGCGAAGCCAAACCCACACCTCGCTGCAGGATTTCTCCAGGCCAAGGAATACAAGCTTCTCCCCTTGATCAAAAAGGACCTCCTAGCTCCCAACGTCTATCGTTTTGTGTTCCAACTTCCTCGTGGCAACGACGTGATTGGCCTCCCAATCGGCCAGCACGTTGCCATCAAAGCTACGATCAATGGGCAACTCGTTTCACGATCATACACGCCTACGTCAAACAACCTCGATTTAGGCGTACTGGAGCTGGTGATCAAATGCTATCCCGATGGGCTGCTCACTGGCCAGTACTTGGCCAACCTCAAGATCGGCGACAAGGTTCCATTTCGAGGTCCCAAAGGTGCCATGCGTTACAAGAAGGGCTTATGCAAGAAGATCGGAATGATTGCAGGTGGCACAGGCATCACCCCTATGTACCAGTTGATTCGAGCGATTTGTGAGAACGATACCGACACTACCGAGATCAGTCTAATATATGCCAATCGTTCCGAAGAGGACATACTCCTTAGGCAAGAACTCGAGCGCTTTGCGGCTGAATACCCTAAGAATTTGAAAATTTGGTACATGTTAGACAATCCTCCCCCGAAATGGGCCTATGGAAAAGGCTACGTGACAGCCGCGCTTATGAAGGAATGGTTGCCCGGGCCCTCTGATGATGCGAAAATTATGCTCTGTGGTCCTCCAGGAATGGTTAACGCGTCGAAAAAGGCTTTGGTGTCTTTGGGCTTTCAGGCCCCCGGTGCCATATCTAGAATGACGGATCAGATTTTCAGCTTTTAGGTATTTGTCAAACCAATTTTGTTACTTGTGCATATTGCAGCCTAATTTTGTTTGAATTCTTGTTGAATTTTTCTTCTTCCGCTTCACCCCTTTTCTTCTACTATTTCTTTGTATGTGTGTGTTGTTATTGTGACTCGATGCCTTGACATGGATAAATCGGAGTTGTGAAACAAAATAGACCTCGTTTTACTATATAGATGATCTCATGTAAGATAGTGTATTAGAACTTTTCAAATTTGATCACTGTACTAGAAAGCTATCGCTATCGGTTATAGGAAAATCCCACAACTTTATCAAACAATACCTATGTAACTACTATGGTAGGGGAATTTGCTATATCTCAAACCCCTCAGGCGCTGGGCCGGCCCAAGGTATAATAGGAGGGCTCGCCCACATCCACTTACAATAGACATGCTCTTCATTTTTCTCACAGTTCAAAGGTATACGTAGGCCATCCGGAGGTGATCGCTACAGGTAGTGCTATACTATACGTTCGCCTACACCGACGAGGCATTATTCGCTCCCACACTACTTCGGTGTGATGAAAGGGGAATGTAACGCGAAATTCTCTCTGCCTTGTAATCGTGATAATACCTCGGGCTCTGATGGCAATTCATTCATCCCATGGACCTTGGGCGCGAACCCCGAGTGGATGTAGAACATACCTCGGAAAGCGTCCGAGGTTCTGGATTTTCCTTTCCGATAGGCTCACATCACTCAGCATTCCTCGTGGATCCAAGTTCCAAACGTTCTGGGACCGACTTATCCATTTCAAATCTCCCATTTACTCTGTTTCGGGCTCCTTCATGTTTATGTCCATGCCGAAGATCCTGACTACCTATGGATGGCGAGGCAGTTTTTCTTCCGGCCCCATAGCTGCCCATGTATATATATATACCTAGGTATTATATAGATATTGTCATAGTACCATTTTTATGACTATATAGTCTCTATTCACTTCGACGACAATTGTCAAAGCTGGTTGAACTAAGAAATACTTACCTACCAAAATGTCGGACTTGTGGCAGCCACCAAAGGATTACCGATCACGCCCTGTTGTTATTCTAGGAGCAGGTGTTCTTGGACGTCGTATTGGTAAATGAGTCCTTTATTTTAATCTTGTTATGTACAGTCGCTAAAACATTGTGGTCCAGCATGCATCTGGGCATCAGCAGGATATAACGTCCGTGTTCGAGATCCGAGCCCTGAACAACGTGCAGCGTGCGTCACTTACGTGCAGGAAAATGTGGCCTTGTACGCAGCAAATATTACTGACAAGGTCAATATCACTTATGGCGGAATCGAAACTTTTGAGGATTTGAAGGAAGCCCTCGGGGATGCCTGGCTTGTTGTCGAGGCTGTTCCCGAGAAGATCCAGCTGAAAATCGACACTTTCCAGCTATTAGACCACCTTGCGCCTGCAGACTGTATCCTAGCTTCCAATTCTTCATCTTTCAGGTCATCTGAAATGTTGCTTAAGGTGACCGAAGCTACCAAGGCCCGCCTTCTGAACTTGCACTACTACATGCCACCTCAGGTTATGGTGGTTGAACTGATGACCTGCGGATTCACCGAAAAGGCCATCTTCCAATTCATGGTTGATCGTTCAAGGGAGGCTGGCACGGTTCCATATGTTGCTCGGAAGGAGTCTACTGGCTTTATCTTCAACCGCCTGTGGGCAGCAGTAAAGCGAGAGGTTTTGACTATACTCTCTGAAAAGGTTTCAGTTCCTGAAGAGATTGATTCGATATGGTCCGAGATGTTCATCAAAGGACGTTTTCAACCTTGCAGAGGCATGGACAGTACGTATTCACATTCTTCCTGTCTTTTCTTTGGGACGTTTTTTCTAGCCCGTTTGGCAAGAGGAGGACCGAGACAGAATTGCTAACTACTACCTTGTATTTTCAGGTGTTGGCCTTGACACTGTTGCTTTCATCGAGAATCACTACATCGCTGAGCGTAGTCTGTCTCCCGAAAAAACGGTCAACTTTCTGCAAAATAATTACCTGGACCAAGGCAGACTGGGCTCTAAGAGTAGCAAGGGTGGTCTTTACCCTCCTCCTGAAGCCACCAACCCAGAGTCCAAGATGTATGTCCTAGACATTGGTCTGTCGGCGAAAACGCCAAACTTAACCGCAGGCGAAATTCTCCAAGTCTCGTCTAATGGGAGCGTGGAGAAGATAATTACCGCTGGGCAGGCTTACCCCGATGGGATTACCGTGGACACTGTCGGCAAGCGCATTTTCTGGACAACCATGGGTGTTCCCGGCAAACCGGATGGCGCTGTGTATACTTCTAATTTAGATGGCACAGAAATCCAGACTGTTGTTGCCCCAGGTGTTCTCAATACTCCCAAGCAAATTGCAATGGACAGCGAAGCCAAGAAGCTCTATGTCTCTGACCGTGAGGGCCTTCGTGTTGCTCGATTCAATCTCGACGGCTCCGACTTCGAAGTGTTGATTCGAAATGGCGATTGGGCAACAGCCGAGGATAGCCAGGATCTCACGAAATGGTGTGTTGGCGTGGCTGTCGTCCCGAGCCTTGGAAAGTTCTTTTGGACACAGAAAGGCCCCTCCAAGGGAGGTAAGGGTGCGATCTATTGCGCAAACATCACTACTCCGGAGAATCAGTCGGTCGCTGAACGGAACGATATTCAATGTATCCGGAATAACCTACCGGAGCCTATTGACTTGGATTTTGATGAAAAGTCTAGTAGCCTGTACTGGACCGACCGCGGTGAGCTTCCATACGGAAACTCATTGAACAGGATTCGTCTTGACGCAGCTGGTGTTGCCATTCCAAGCGCGTCCCCTCGGGGATACGAAATTCTCTGCAGGAATTTGAATGAGGCCATTGGCCTAACGCTGGATCTGCGAAACAACACTATCTACCTGACAGATCTAGGGGGTAACATCTACAAATGCGATTCTGATGGAAAGAATAGGGTGAAATTGTATAGCAACGAGAACAGGGCATTTACTGGAATCGCTTTTGCTTAATAACTAGAAGCGAGTTATTTACGTAGCTCAATATACTCAATAAATAGCAATTGTTCTTGTTTGAAGAAGAAAAAGATTCAAGCACTGAATAATCTGGACAGGTTACACATTAGGGCTAGGAAAAGCATGTGATTAGTCCTACCTCGGGATAATATATTGGTTTGGAAAACGTCATAAGCTTGGCTTACGCAGACATAGTACGAACCATTCCTAATGAAGTTAGTACTCATACAAGTGCACTCCGATTGGCTAGAACGCCTCAGATCTTCCGAAGCCAAATATCAACCTCGATAATATAGACCGTTTGTCTCCTTTCACTGGGATTTCGGCATACACCAGAATGCCAACCGAACCAGGTCCCACACCACGGCGCCGGCATCGCTCGGCTTTGGCCTGTCAACTATGTCGCCAACGAAAAGTACGCTGTAGCCTCTCGGTTACTGGTGTTCCTTGTGCTGGATGTGCTCAGGACAAGCAACAATGTATCGTCGACCCAAAGAGACGCGACATGTTACGTTGTTCCCCAAACGAGTAATTCAGTATGCTTCTAATACTAACCACTTGCCTACAGTATTCCTTCAATACGAACCCAAGTGGCTCATAAGGACAATCTTCATCAATACTCTTCTGACCGTCGCTGGCCTAATCCTGATGATGGCAATGACGTAGTCAAGCCCGCGGCCTTGCCGTCTACGGAAAACAGAATAAGTTCTCATCAAAACCAAATTTCACCCCCCTGGGACTCTCAAACTAGCGAACCGAAAGATAGGGATGATGTTTTGGAGGAAGAGCGCAATGCACTTGAGCTAGCCGATGCGGCTTTAGGCCAACCACAGCGGGTCGGCCGAGTGCCTTTCTACACCGGTAATAATAAGAATACGTATCATGATTTTCAGAGCGTGAGAAAACTAATTTGATCAAAAGGACATGATCTCGGTCCCACGTCTGCTTTGAATATCTGCGTACCTGACAAGTCGCTATCGAGACACCTGCTCATCCCACCTGGCACTTCGACTATCCTGTCGGATGAAGATCGGGAGTATCTCCAAAAAAAGGGCGTTTACAAGATACCTGAGAATGAAGTCTGCAACAGCCTTCTGCGTGCCTACTTCACGCATGTACATCCTATCATACCTGTCATTGAGCCTGACGTTATCCTGAATCATCACACCGCGGGCCGACTACGTGAATTTAACCTCTTGCTTCTGTGGTGCATATTTTTTGTTGGAGCAAATGTAAGGTTGGCAGATATAAATAAAAGCATGCCTTCCTTTTGCTTGGATTAACGACGAAGCTGAGCTTGCTAAAATATTCAGTTCATTTCGCCAGAAATATACGAACTCGAAGGCTATGGATCCCGAAAGGAGATGAAGGCTGCGATGTATTCTCGCGCAATTGTGAGTATTCTATATAATCGACTCTTGTAATACTCTGCTGATTCTCATTGTTTGATGTAAGTGTTTGTATAACAACGGGGGAGAAAGAGACCAAATCGTTCTTCTACAAGCCTCTCTGCTGATGGGATTTTGGCATTCGGAAGTCGATGAACATACACAGCCATGGTATTGGATAGGCGTTGCAGTCAGCCTCTGCCAGATGCTAGGCTTACATCGCGATCCAGACTCGTCCAAGTATAATTCTTCTATTACAGATCGACAGCGACGCTTGTGGCGTCGCCTCTGGTGGACCTGCTTCTCCCGGGATCGGTGGCTGAGTCTTACGTTGGGTAGACCCTTGCGGATTGATCTCAAGGACTGTGATATGCCGATGCCAACCCCCGATGACCTGCTTAGTGACATTCAGGGCATTCCCCAATATTCATCCGCATCTTACCTACCCAGTAATCTAGCGCGGTTGAGTACATATTGGATCACATATATCGAGTTGAGCAGGCTGCTAGGCACTGTCCTGATAATGAACTATCAGACCCAGAGACCAACACCTATGTTGCAACAGGTGAAAGCCCTTGAAGCGGAAATATTGAGCTGCAAGCTACCAGACCAATATGACCCCGATCTCACTCGGACAGCAGTTTTCTATTGCTATCATCTAGAGTTACACTATCAGTTAAGATCACCGACCAATCCCATGACATATCTATAGAATCATGAGTATTGACTCGGTCCCCCTAGGGCGCTCTTGATTACATTTTACCGCCCATTCGGAACTACGATACCACAGGGCCTAGATCTCAATTCCCAAGAGAACTGGAATTATCGGATGTCCCTTAGAGCTGATGCTGCTGCCTCTCGAACCAATGTTATCATTGAGTCCATCGTCCAAGATGGCCTTCTTGATTTTGCGGGCCCTATGACGTGAGTACAACCACGCGGACCTTCAATCAAGTCTTCCTTGCTCTTGACTAAAGAATCCGGCAGACCTCCGCTCTTGGTCCCCGCAATGCAAATGCACCTCCTTCGGTGTAAAGCAGCCGGGTCTCTCCCTAAACGTCTCCAACTCAACAAGCTATATACGTGCCTAATGGTTTTATCGGAACTACAAAAGACGTATACGGTTGCCTCCATATATCGCGGGGTATTTGCCAGGGCTATACACCAAATATTCCCAGAGTTCGCAACGAGCACGATTCTAGCCCGGTCTCTTGGCGACTTTACTTCCAGTACTGGCACTGCCGATTTAAGCACAGAGGCCGTCCCTATGCCAGCCGAAGCCGAACTCGATACCGAAGCAGCCGATGACTTGATCAATATGCTTTTCAATGATGAAGCTTCTATTTTCAATTTCTTGGACATGAACCAGGTGACTGAAAATTTCTCTTATTATGGCAGCGCTTAATCTTGTATTCTCTCGCAATTAGCTGTAACCCTATCTGGGCATCATTTTCACGTGGACTGGATTTTATACGTGGAACTCGTGGACTTGTTATACCACTTGTCATGTGTGTGTACGTATATATATATATATATATATATAAGTAGAGGCTATATAAGTAGAGGCTCAACTGAATCCAATTATCATTGCTGAGGATGAGGTGATAGGATGAGGCATTGTACCTACTTACACCTTTTGAGACCCTGTTTACCGGCTTGCAACTGTTTATATTCAGCACAAATAGGCAACCTACATCTGCTGAACGGCATCCGAGAGACAGGATCATACGTCGTATCGCTTGAACCCTGTGGGTTTAGATGTAGGGGGCCGCTAGATAATGGTTGGATAACGCTAAATCTTATTCGTATTGAAGAGATGGAAGGAGGAACTCATGTACAGAGTATACATACATATATATGTGTTTGATTCTATGTGATATACCAAGGTAAATAGTAGTCACTAGATTACCAAGTTACCTAGGTATAGACTCCAGTCCGAGACTCTGCAAGTAAAGACTACATAGGTACTTGAACGCTAGATCAGACTACTAATAAGCATTTAGATAACCACAAATTACGTATTTTTTACAAGATAAGAGAAGGGTATATATCTATTTTACATGGTTCCTTGGGGGATTTGCTGCATCTATAATACTAAGCATCTCCTCTACACTGGTAACTTTCTCTCGAGGCTTGCCCTTTGCGTTTCCCATTTCTTTTTCAGCTGCATCAATGTTCTCCCAATCCTCCCAGTTTGTGTTAAGCAGCCTTCTATTCGTAACCTCAGACTGCACTTGTTCCCACCCACGCCCGGTGCTTCCTCCAGACGACGAGTTTAGGAACGATATTTTGGCTTTTCCACCGCTCGCTTTGTGTGCTTCCCAATCCGCCACAATTGAGTCTGCGGTGCCAAAGGCGTCCATCATCGTGGATGCAATTACTCCCGTGGGACCCCGTTTTACCCAGCCCGCACAGTATAGCCCTGGGATGTGGGAGATCTGTGTGTTATCAAGGGGTGTCGTGCTGTCCTCAGCTGCAGAAGATGAACTGGTAACTCGGCCAAAGCCATCGTTGGGGATGATGCCACGTCGCTCATCGAATTGAATACCAAGGTCCTTGAAGCCGGGAAGTGGCATGGACTTGTAGCCAATACTGCGGAAGAAAATATTGCATGGGATATTCATTTGTGCAAGATTACCGCTGGCCAGGTGATGTGGCTTGACCTTGGCGTTTGGGGCATACCCGTCGGACGAGTCAAACTCATTGCGGGTGAATTTCGCGTGAGACAATCGGTAGGGGTACATGGGTGACCAGTGCAAAGAATGAGGAGAAAGAAGAAAATCTAGAGACCAGCTTTTACTGGCAGTGCTGGGGTCTGTGGCAGATCCTTTGGCTAGAAGCTGGATCAATCGTTTCTCTGCTCGAGGAAGACTCGATATGACTTCCTCTGGGGGGAAATATTCCTTCGGAATACCATCAAATGAAACACCAGGGAGCTGCAGAAGCTCTCGTATTTCTTTAATCGTGAAGGCCGCCTTGAAATTCTATGAGCAATCTTTCCGTGTCGGTTTTAGAGAAGAAGAAAGGAAGCATTGTCTCACCTGCATTGGCCCGCGCCTCCCAACAATACGCACCCGCTTGATTCTACTCTTTGCTAGTTGTTCTAGTGCATGCTCTGATATATCTGTTTTACGCAAAGCATCCACATTTGACAAGAGTATTCGCGCTACATCAAGCGCGACGTTGCCTTGACCGACAATAACGGCGTTTTCTCCAGCAGTCAGGTCTGGAGCCAAGTCACGGTACTCGGGAAGCCCATTGTACCAGCCCACAAAAGCTCTTGCCGAGAGGACGTTCTTCTGAGCATCCTCGCCGGGGATTCCCAACTCTCGATCTTTGGACGCACCGTATGCGAACAAAATGGCATCGTAATGGGGTGTCATTGCCTGGAAAGGCAACTCAGAGCCGACAGCAACACTTCCGATAAAATTGAACCGATCAGACTTTGCGACTTCTGTAAATTTCTCTTCGCAATTCTAATGGTGTACGCCAGGATTAAACATCAGCATACCTCTCCTTTCTTCAGCGCCTGAACATCGTACCTTGACTTCCGGGTGGTCTGGTGCCACGCCATATCGTACTAGACCAAAAGGCACCGGTAACTGCTCATACATGTCAACGATTGCATCTTCCGATTTGGAAAGAAGCCGGTATGCAGAATAGAAGCCAGCCGGGCCGGAGCCGATAATGGCCACTCGAAGCCGATCAACACTATAGGTTCTGTAGCCGTACGCCCTAAGAGGGCGCCTAATAGGCAGTTGAGAAGAGTGCCATCCCCGTCGCACACACTGCATGCACAGGGAGAAAGTCATTGTCTCTGGTTGTTCACTGTCAGTTCGTATTCGGAGTAGCGGCGAGGTTTCGCCGCGGACGGAGGCACGTGTGCTTATCGATAAGCACGTATCTTATCGCATGGTTCCTGCCGTTGCCGCGTCAACACCGCCGAACCAAACAATCCCCAGCCCTACCCGGCTCATCCTCTCCTCTCCCTTCGCATTCCTAACGACCTCACATCCACATTCCACTGCCCTATCCACATACACTCCCTCTCAACAATTTCTATCAATGCCTTCATTCGTTTAATGCTGGCCTGCTTTAAAGTATCGCTTACCCACATTCCTTAACCCCAGGTCTTCCCACGCGCATTCGACGCCATGGGCGGTTCATCCTCCCCTCCATTCCTCTACGATCCGGTATCGCAATGGTCCTTCAACGAATACCATAGAGGAAAGCCATATAATCCCAAGGCTGTTACTCAAGCAAGCAGAGCTCCTCGCCCGCAGAGACCCCCTCAGGAGGGTCCATTGGTGAGCTTTAATCGCCATCCCGACTCAGTATGTACTATTTGCCAGTCAACAAAGAAACAAACTGATTGCTCAAATATAGTGGGTTGTGCCGAGTCCAAGTCCCCCCATAGTTCCCATGAGTCATCACACCAAGGCTCGCGTGAAGCACACGAGAAGATTCCAGCTTTTGCTTCGAATTCTTGCCATTATCGGAGCACTGGGTATCCTGTTTTGCGTAATTTGCGTTACTGACACAGGAGCTGCTTTGGGGTGGATAATTCGCGTTGCAGTATGTCTGAGATCATGTTATCTATTCATAGATACCTTCAAGATGCTAATCACATACTATACATTTTCAGCCATGCGTCGCCATTCTCCACACTATTTATGCAATCTATCATCTTGCGCGCAATGCTGCTAGTCGACCTCCTGGTACTTCAACAAGTTACCACCTATTTGCCTCTTGCATGGATGCCGGATTAGTTCCTTTTTACGCCTTCACTAGCTATATCGCTTACAGAGAAGTGCAAGGAAATACCTACGGTTGGAACACCCTTTTCAAAGATGCAACGATCCAGGCCTACATTGTTAAAGTGCTTTTCTACGCCACTGCGGTTTGCGCCGGCTTGCATCTTATATCGTTCGTGATCTCCATTTACTTGGCTGTTGTCTTCAGACAGATTACCAAGTTGCCGCCTGATATGAATCCCTTGGAGGACAACCTCACTGCTCGCCCATCAAGACGTAGTAAGCGCAGCACAAAGTCAGATATGACAGAGAAAAAGCATAGGAGCACCAGTACATTGGACTCGGCGTATTACAGTGTCAGGTCTCACATGGATGACGCCCCGGTTGACATACCAGAGCCTATCCCTTTCATGCATACAAGACAACAGTCTTCGAACTCTGTCATTGATCCAAAAAGGGCGTCGCGTACTTCTCTGAATTCCCACAGGCAGCCGAGAATTGATAACGCACCTGGTTCACCACGCAGTCCCAAACAGGCCACGTCACCATCTACTCCCACAGCAACTCGGACAGCTCAAGCAACCCCGCCTCGACCTCGTTCAATACTTGAAGATGCTCCTGTATTGCATCCAACTCCTGGTAATAACGTATCCGCGAACATCAGATGGAGCAGCCCTGTTCCATCAGAGGGATCCGGTAACTGGGTGGTTTACGATTCGCGACCTTCTTCGCCAGCAGTTGACGAGGACGAAGATAATGACAACATGAAACATCCGAGTCGGAGCAAAAACGAATCGGCATTTCCCATATTTAATGGCGTCAGTGACTGGCTGGGCCCAGTCCCGAGATATGGCCGCGTTGAAAGTGGCACGCCCCAGAAAGAGGCTCGAGGCCAATATGCCGCATTGGAGACCAATCCTCATATCCACCTAGACGAAGTATTCATCAACAAAGATAGCCTGGAGGAAGACATTACCGAGTACCTGAACAGAGCCCTTGACCCGTTGAACCCTCTGAGGATGAACCCTCCAACTCCTCAGCCAAAAGAGAAGTCCGACAACACAACAACTGCTGTAGGCCGGAAGCCTAGTATTCGCCGTGTTGCGTTGGGTGATATTCCCAATGTCTCTGCAGATAGAAGCAACGACACTGCGGCCATCAATAACGTGGATTCACCATCTCCTACAAAGGAATCCAAGTTAAGGACTTTTGGCAGCTTGAGACTGTGGCCAAGCAAACCCAACAAAACCACTTATGAATCTGTCCAAGAAGAAGAAGAAGAAGCTATGTCTAGCGATAATGAGAGTGATAATGATGATAACGAACCACAAGAATTGGCAACTCCAAAGCGCCGAACTGCCTCCAAAGCTACACTCAATGACCAGACGGATGCTGATCGCAAAGGACGAGTCGTTAGCAACTCAGGCATCGATCTCGGCACCGCATTCAACACGGGTTTGAGCTCAAAGCAGTATGGAGATTATATCTCCGGTCTTGGAGTTGGTCGCAGGCGAGATGTCAGTGGGAAAGTTGCCGAGGAGGGACGCGGCGGAATTGTCGAGACTACAGCTGAGGTAGTAGATACTCCGCGTACGCCAGAGAAGAAGAAAGCCACTACTCGCGCTGCGGGCTGGGCTCGCTTTGCGGGACTTTGAATGAATTACATGAACGAACATTTTCGTTGGGATTGGATTATGCTGGTTATGAAAGGATGAAAATATGATATGGAGGAACTTCTACGCAGATACGATACGACCTGGAAGGATTATTTGGGAGGTATCTGGATACTATTTTCGTTTTCCTCTGATTCGGCGACTTGAACCCTGTTTCTTGGAAGGATTACGGAGTTACGATAATTGTTTTTTTTTTTTCCTTTATGTCCCTATTTCACGAGTTTGGTATATATGGCGAGCGATTTGTTGGTCTTGTTTTGGTTTGTTTCTATTTCATTATGTAGCTGGCGACTTGGGTAACTGTTACATACATAGCTTGTATAAAAATAAGATTAGGCATCCATTCGATTGATCAATTTATCTTTATATCTTCCGAAATCATTACTACTATTACCAGATATACTTCCAAGATTGGCAGTAAGTACCGATACCCGACAAAAAATAATCTGCTTTGCGACCATTTCTCTATCCCAATGACCAGAAATTAATGACATCGCCTTTTGCAGAATCGTTGGCTTAATCATGCGTACGCAGGTATTGCATTTTCCGGTTCATCATCTGCTCGTGTGTGCGTTGCTCGACTTCCTGCCGAAGTCGAGCTTCCTCTTCCTCGTCTATCATAGTTATACCGAATTGCTCCTCCTCTTCGTCCTCTTCCTCTTTCTCCTTTTGTTTTTCGTCGTGTTGCGTGTTTGTTGGCGGGACTGGTTTTCGAGTTATTTGCTTTCGTCTCTCGTTCTCCTTTTGTTCCTGCTCAATCGCCTTGTCTTGGACTAAAAGGGCGGTTTTCTCCTTTGCAAGTTCAACACCGTCGACTTCTTCAAAGCCAAGGTCGCTGAGAACTTGGCCGACGAGGAATTGATAGCGGAGATGACCGTCAACAGTTGTGCTGGCGTCTACATTCTCGAGATTTTGGACACCCTTAACTGGCTGCAGGCCCGCAATGTCAACCTCTAGATGAGTAGCGCGGTAGAGGAGTGCAAGGATAGAATCGTTCTGGGAATAGACATTCACAAGACGACCAGAAACGACGGTGCGCATTGCTTGCCAGCCAGCTGGATCTGCGGGGATTGGCGATCCCATGAGTATGGCGGATTCGATAAGGCCGTAGGCGTGTCTTTTGGCAAGGCTTCGCAGGCAGGAGTATATAACCCGAGAGCCTAGAGAATAGCCGATTAAAGTCACAGGGCGCTTCCCCTGAGCTCTGTTAATCAAAGCATCGGCGAGAACTTCGCCGGCCTTATCAGCTCTTGAGATGGCGACATTGAATGGGTTCGCGGCTATTTGAGCAAGTCTCGCAATCCCCATAGGCAACAGGACAGCGCTCATGATACCTGCCAACACTGTGCGAGCGAGGACCTGGTAACTGGCGACTTTCCATGCCGCAGTAGTAACTAGAGCATGCATGGAGTTTCCGAGATGGAGAAGTGCCTCGTATTCCCAACGAAGAGCAAAAACTTCCGATTCAGGGCCGATAACTCGCCACGGTACGACAATGTTGTCCTCTTCAGTCACCCAGCCAGTAATTCCCACTGTTACCCTCAAACGGTGATCTTCCTTTGCAGCGTCTTTCTCATCCTTGAGATTCTTTTGTATTTTTCCCCGTACAGGAATGAAAGCAAAGTCTTCAACTTCCCTCGCATACTTGTCCATCATCTTGCCGGTCATTTTCCCGCCATAAGCTCCAAACAGACCACCGACTACTACCCCACTGCTAGCGAGAGCTCCTAAATAGGTAGCGGCAATGGTACTACCAAGGCCTAATCCTCCCATTATAGTACCAAATCCAGCTGCTACCAGGGGTGCCGCAAGACCACCGGTAATGCCTATAAGTGCGGCACCAGCTACCGTCGCAACGCCCACTTTCCATTTTCGAGCTTTTTTGTTCTGGGCTGCCTTCTGTTTTGCTTCCTCGTCTGCAGTCATAGCTATTGCTGCATCAAGCAGACCACGAGCCACCTGAGCTTCATTGTCATTTAGGTCTCTGAGAGCAAGGTTTAAAGATGAGGTGATATGTAACAAAAGCACTCGTGAGTACGCGCTGTAATGCTCAAGGCCAAGAAGCAGGAGTAAAAGAGACCGAAGAACAAGAAGTCTTTGCGCTTTGGGTAGATCGCTAACCACGCTATCAAAAGGCGGATACACTTTTGACAACTGACTTGGTGTCTCTTTATCTGAATTTGTCGACTCTTCTAGTAGATTGTCGTCACTCGTTAAGAACGAAGTCTGGTCGATCTGGGGTTCCCCACGCTCATTCAAGACCTGGCCAACCCTCAGCAAGACTGAATTGTGCCATTCGTCGAAATATGCGAGTGCCTGGGTTTTCGATGCCTGATTCAAGGCTAACGCAGTATCTATGCTCTCTTCAGCGCTCCTCGCCGGCAAATCTCGTTCGTGTGTGGAATCTCCTGAATTTTGCTGTTCTGACAGGTCATTTTGCGCCTTGGAACTAGAAGGTGCTTCGAAATTTTGTGAAACCGTCTTCCGCATATGCTCAAGCACGACCGAAATCAAGACCATCAAGTCTCCGCGTTGAGACTCGGTGAGAAAATCGGATAACCCATGCTCCTTTTTCTCGTCCTTCTTGCCTTGATCTTCGGCAAAGGCCGGGTAGCTGAAGAAGCGATCAACCATGACTGAATGATAAACTGTTGTGGATATTGTTGTCGAGTGGAAACGAGATGGTGACTTGCGTCATGGAAGAAAGAGCCTCCGAGCGGGGGGCGGAAGCGCAGCGGCGGTGCGCCAAGCCCGGAGAGAGCCTCAACTCCGATTCTGCACCACGAAGTACCTTCCTGCTGTCTTTGTAGCCGAGCCCAAGGCGTTTCCATCCCATTGGTCGTCCTCAACGTGCCCGGTATTCTCGTCTTCTATCGCGGCTTCGCGTTGTATCCTCTTACTGCGACCGGTCACCTTCTCCTTGGCCAGAGCATCCTTCAATGTCTTCAATCCGATTGTAGACTCCTTGACAGCCTCACGGCTCTCGTCGCGGATAGCTTGTAGCGGCGATATGCCCTTCGTTTCCACATCCTGGATCGATCTCACAAAATGGATCTGGGATTCAAGCGTTTTCAGCATCTTTGTCTCCTCTGCCTTGTCGACCGGCTGCGGGAGGGCCGACAAACGAAGTAGACGGCGAAGGCTTTCCGTGGTGATTGATAGCGGTTTTGTCGAGTCATGGGTATTTGGAAGCAAAGACTGGACAGACCATGTCGGTTTAGAAAGAAGCGCAGCGATGTCGTCGCTGGTAGACTTGGCTGAGTAGTGTCGCTCAGGGGCAGCGAATGCAAGCGCTTTGTTAGCCCAGCGGAGTGGACGAGGCCAGCTCAATCGCACTTGGACGCAAGCCATTGCTGGTGATAATATGGAATTTGTAGGTATGGTTAACTGGAATATTCGGACAAAGTAGAATCGTAAACGAGAGCTTTTTCTGGGTGGAAGATAAATTATTTTGGTGATAATTCCCAAACAAAATTAATGGGGAAGGCGGTGAAGGCCCATCTTGCAGTATAGCTGGAGCCCCACTACTGATGTATCATGCTTGCTTGTCCTTCGCTTCAACTTCCTTATCACTCACTATTAGGGGTGTCTCGAATAGCAGATTGCGGCACTTATTTTACCGAATTCAACAAGATAATACCTGGTTATTGTCGGAAATATGGGAGATCCTCGCGCCTTGTTACAGAAGGTGGTTGAACCTCTCCGCTCTTGCTCCGCTGGTGGCTAATGTGGCTTTCATACCAGGCCGACAAAGCTCTTCAAAGTGCGTCTGGAGGCTTCAGTTTCTTTGGGGGACGAACGGAGAAGCTTGAGAATGCGGCAGATCTTTACATTCAAGCAGCGAACGCATTCCGAGTACAGAAACTGAGTGAGTCAATATCCATCCGTGTCAGCGTCAGCCCAAGCTTGGCATACAATCATTCATGAGTCTAATATCGTCGGGTATAGACAGGGAAGCTGGACAGGCATTTGAGAAAGCCGCCGCTGTTCAGAAAAACAATCTCAACGAACCCGACGACGCAGCAAACAGTTTATCCGAAGCTTTCAAGGTATATCGCAAATCAGATCCCGAGGATGCAGTACGAGTACTCGCAATTGCAGTCCAGCATTATATTTCGAAGGGAAACTTTAGACGAGCGGCCACTCACCAGCAGAACCTGGCTGAGACTTATGAAGTTGAGATTGGCAATGCGAAGAAGGCTTTGGAGGAGTATGAGAAAGCTGCCGAGTGGTACGAAAGTGACAACGCAGAAGCGTAAGTAATTCTATACATCCTTTTCATTCGAATTCTTAGGAGCTTATCTAACTCGATGTTACCGCAGACTTGCCAATAAATATTTCCTAAAGGTTGCCGATCTCGCCGCCATAGAAGGGGACTATTACAAGGCAATTGCACAATACGAAAAAGTTGGAAAGGTTTCGATTAACAACAATCTGATGAAATGGTCCGTCAAGGATTATTTCTTCAAAGCCGGTATATGTCATCTTGCAACAGGGGTATGTCTAGTCGTCTGTATAATTCAAGTTAGCCGTGCTAATTCCGCCTTACAGGACCTCGTTGCTAGCAACCGTGCATTGGAAAGTTATAGAGACATTGATCCTTCGTTTTCATCAACCAGGGAGCACGCGCTATTGGTCGACCTTTTGCAGGCTGTTGAGCAAGGAGATCAAGAAATGTTTGCCGATAAGCTCTTCCAATTTGATCAATTGAGCAAATTGGACAAATGGAAGACCACTCTGTTCCTCCGCATCAAGGGTAACATTGAAGAGGTCGGTGAGGATTTCTCGTAGTTGTCTGTCTTGCTTGGCGGTTATCTATTCTCTGTTCCGTTTTCAGATTATTGTTTTGGTTGCGATCCCCGTCTCTCTTACCTTGCCTTTTGATACTTACGGGGCTAGAGCTTTACTGTATGTCATCATGTCGATAAACATGTGTTTCAAGGCATAATGATTTGTTATATTGGCATATGTGGATTAAAAGTAGTGTAAACTGCGAATAAAGGGGCTGCCATTGTATGAACTATACAATAGCATTAACTAACACAATATATGAGAAAAACATGTGGACTACTATAACGAATCCAACTCCTTGTAATGCGAATTTCTAAAAACAATATATAACAGAACGACTGAATATTCGGGTATCATCAAATGTGACAGTGTCTAATCACCATCAATCCTTTTTAGAAACAAACCTGGCCAGCGCAGGTCCTAATTGCTCTCGTTCATGTCTCAGTGTTTCGTGCTGTTGAGAAGTGCGTTCCTTCTGTATAGCTTCTGCCTTGAGACGTTTCTCGTCAATGACATTTGTCTTTCCTCTCTTTCGGAGATATTTCCTGAGCGCACTGTTCCGGCCTCGTCCCCGATTCTTCAATTTTTCTATGGGGTCTTTCGGTTTGAAGTCCTCTGCTCGCTCTTCACGGCGTTTCTTGTCGCTGATCGCATCAATTTTACCAACGAAATCTGGGTCTAATGAGATCATCTCGGGCTGTATCTTGTTCAATAGCGCCTTCACTTCGGCCTCCTGGCGCTGCTTGGTGGTTTCGTATGGGTTCACTTCGGTGGAATCGAAGTTTGGTTCTCCCGCACCAGGAACAATGATACTGGAGAAACCCTTGTCATGAGCTACACCTAAAATATCTTCGTATGGACACCATTTAACGCTCTCTATGCGCTGTCCATCACCACCCCATGCCATGTAAGGGCTCTGGACCTTTTCTGCGTCCGCAGCTGCGGCGTCAAAGAGACCCTTCCAAACGCTGACCTGCGTGCCCCAACCCACTGCTGTAAGACCGCGATCACTAATGGAGACACTTGACCCAGGCTGGTAACAAGAATATGAGTGTACTTGCTTGAACATCCGTATATCCCAAATATTCATTCTCATGTCTTGGCCTGTAGAGACCATGTATCGGCCTTGTCGATCAATAGCCATCGACCGCACTGGTCCTCGGTGTACAAGAGCTTTAACCAGCGCCGTTTGTGAATTGGGCGACCACAGAGTGACTGTGCCGTTTTGGTGGCCAACGTGGAGAATGGCATTCCAGGGATTTTGACAAAGCGCTGTTGGAGAGCCTAATCGAGTTGGCAGTTCTGCAACTAACTGACCAGTGGATGTGTCGGTATATTTTAGAAAACCGCTGTTTGCCTATGAGACGACAGTGTGTTAGCGGTATACTCCCTGAAAGTGAAGGTTCTCTATGTCAGTGATACTCACAGCGCTAGCCAAAAGAAAGTGATATGGTAGAAATTCGAGGTATTTGGCCTCGATGTGTTTGTTGAGACAGTGCAATTCGACACCGGCGTGGTCATAGATATAAACGTTTTTCTTTTGGGCCACAGCAAAGAACTGATTGTTATGCAGCCATTTCGCATCGCGTATCGTCTCCCTGAGCTGCAGCTCACACCCTAGCTTTCCGGATCGCCATTCCATCGTCGCAATATGGCCTTTCCGCCCAGCCAGAAGCAAATTTTTGCCGTTTCGAGTGTAATCTGCTCGATACGGTCCCAGTTCCTCCAGCTTCAATTCAAACCCTTTCTTGGCGACTTCAATTCCCACATTCTCTTTTATTTCGTCTTGCCTGACCTTGTATGTTCTTTCAAGCTCTCCCTCGGGCTCCAAAAACCCCGACTCGTTCTCGAGCAGAATCTCCGCGTCCTTTGCTCGAAGTGCAGCTGTCTTGTAGCGGTCTTCGACGACCTTCAAATTCCCTCGCAACTTCTTGTCTCTGATTTTCTTCAATTGAACTGCCTTGCCGCGTCCATACTTCTGCGTTGCGTCTGTTAAGCGCTTCTTTGCTTCTCTAGCTTCGATAATTTCTTGCGGCGAGCGTTTCGCGACGGCCTCAGCGACTGGGGCCATATCTGTTTGCTTCCACACAGATGCGTGGATTTGATATAAAGAAACAGAATGTCACTTTGAGTATGCAAAAAATAAAAACGGGATAATTGTGATTTATTGCTGGTTCATTGATCACTTGCAAGCAGCGGGTCTGGCGCGAGCCTAAAAATTTCTTGCCAAGATTTGCTACTCGCTTGTCCGCCACAAGAACTTTTTTTTTGCTTATCGATTAGCAGTCCCCGCCTTCCCGCTTTGATTTTTGCGAAATTTGTCTGAGGTAAATAAAATCGTTGCTTCTTTTTTTCCTCGACACACTCGTTGCAATCGAGCGCAATTTCAAAGTTGCTTCATCCTGGCGTCTCTCCCATTTCGTTTCAGGAGGCCAGAGGGTGCCAACATGGCGCCAATCACTTCGTCGGTGCACCACCATCGGAGCACAACGAAGACAACTCACAAGTCATTCAAGAGCAAGCACGCGACGAAAAGTGCGCTGAAAGAACGGACTAGAGGTATCATGGAGTCTCTCGTTACTCTAGCACAAATTTGAAAACACTGACATGTGTGTTCCATTCAGGAAAAATCGAGACCCAGGAGCGAGGAGTTCGAAAGACCCCCCATCAACAACTAATGTCGAAGCTCGACCGCAAAAACCAAGCTCGCCAGAAACAACAACTTAAACACCAGGAGAAATCCCACGCTACCAGCATCTTTTCCGGCCAGAATGGAGCACCTCGTCAAGTCGCCATTGTTCCTCTTGCGGATAACATCGACGTCTCTGATGTGATCCGATCCTTGAACGCAAGTGTTGATGTCCCAAAAGATGTTTCCGTTGATCGCCAAACACGTGTACGGATTGACCGATTCAAGCAAAATATCATGTACGTTCCAGCGAGGTATGATTTGCTACATGCTTTGGATGTTTGTCGCGTGGCAGATTTTGTGGTTTTGGTTCTTCCAACCGACGTGGAGGTGGCAGAGGAAGGAGAAATACTTTTACGATCAATCGAAAGCCAGGGCATCTCCAACGTTCTAGTTACCGCACAAGGGCTGGACCAGGTGAGCCCGCCCAAGAAACGGCCACAGGTCGTTTCTTCCCTCAAATCATACATAAACCACTTCTTCCCGACAATCGAAAAGGTCCTTTCTCTCGATTCTCGACAAGAATGCTCCAATGTGGTCCGAAGTCTTTGCACAGCAACGCCAAAGGGAATTCGGTGGAGAGATGACAGGAGCTGGATGCTGATTCAGGATATTAATTGGCCTGATATTCAAGGGAATGCAATTGACGATGTGGTGATCACCGGTGTTGTACGGGGAAAAGGATTGAAGGCAGACCGAATTGTGCATATACCCGGCTGGGGGGATTTTCAGATCGGTTCAATAACAGCAGCACCGCTCCCAAACACGAAGAATAAGAAAGAAGACTCAATGAATATTGATGAAACAGATGTCTCCCAAATTCTGGATCAGCCAACGGATGACCGTGATGACATGGCAGTTATCGCACCAGAAGAGATCGAGATGGACGATGACATGTTATCAAATCCTGATACAGAGAGGCGAGGTGTCTTGCTCGATGATCACCACTACTTTTCCGATGACGAATCGCACATGCCGGCTCGTCCCAAAAGGCTTCCAAAAGGGACATCCGAATACCAGGCTGCCTGGTTCCTTGAAGACGACTCTGACTCTGGGTCTGACATGGTTGACATGGAAGATGAAGATGAAGATATGGAAATCGATGGGTCTGAGGGCCGTCCGGAGGATGGTGTATTCCCAGACCATGTTGATGCCATGACTGAAGGCGGGCCATCGGAGTATCCTCAGTCAGAAATGTTCTTAGACCCATCTCCCGAAGATGAAGCGGACCAGTTAGAGAACTATCGTGCTAGTCGACGGAAGGAAGAAGAGGATGACCTCGAGTTTCCTGACGAGATTGAACTGCACCCTAATGTTCTCGCTAGGGAGCGATTACAGAAGTACCGTGGCTTAAAGAGTCTTAAAACTAGTCGATGGGAAACCTCAGAAGACCGGCCTTTCGAACCTGAAGATTGGCGGCGACTGTTGCAGTTTCATGATTACAAGGGTCTCAAGAATAAACTTGTTCGAGAGGCTCTTGTGGGCGGCGTGGTGCCAGGTACTCGTGTGAACGTCCATCTGAAGGCCGTCCCATCTGTCCTTCGCAACAGGCCATTGCCTGTGGCATTATACTCGCTTCTTCGCCATGAACATAAACATACAGTCATAAATATCAACATGACCCTGAACTCTTCAGTCGAAAAGCCAATCAAATCAAAGGAGGAAGTTATCATTCAGTGTGGTCCACGCCGCCTTGTGGTCAATCCAATCTTCTCCGGTGCCGGTAATACACCGAATAATGTACACAAATTTGACCGATTCCTTCATCCAGGTCGCAACGCGATTGCCAGTTTCATTGGACCCGTTACCTGGGGAGCTGTTCCAGTTCTTGTTTTCAAAAACCAGACCGTTAACGACCCAGAAGTGCTAGACTCTGCTGATGGCAACACTGAGTCTGAAAAGACACTGAAGCGCTTGGAACTGATTGCAACAGGCACAGTTGTTGCTCCTGACTACTCTCGAGTGGTCGCTAAGCGAGCTATCCTGACCGGCCATCCTTACAAGATTCACAAGAAAGTGGTCACAGTGCGCTACATGTTCTTCAATAATGAGGACGTTCAGTGGTTCAAGGCCCTTCAACTTTGGACCAGGCGTGGCCGCAGTGGCTTCATCAAAGAGAGCCTGGGAACTCACGGATACTTCAAAGCAACCTTTGATGCGAAGATTAATCCACAAGATTCAGTCGGCATCAGTCTGTATAAAAGGGTTTTTCCCCGCAGAGCTCGGGCTTTTGAGGAGTTGGCATAAGTTTTGCTTGGTACTTTTGTTCTTATTTTTTCTTGTCCTGTAACGATGATGATAAAAGTGCATACCCACACCAGACATGGTTTGACGTGTCATGACTATATACAAAAGATTTTAGGTCCCAATACCTATTCAATTGCATACAAAATATACATATCTGGATTTTGCTCTACCGAATTACTTTAACAACGACCATAGCTAATGATGACTCCTACCTCAAGCGACGGGACAACCAGGAGAATGCTTTGATATACTTAAACAGCTCCAGACCCTCTCACAGCACCATTCTTCCACCTCTCCAAACTCGTCTCATACCCTCCACTTGCCTTCCACGAACTAATGATCAAATTGACAATATGATCCACACCATTCCCATGCTTCACCGAGCCAAAGACCGTCGGGCCACCCTCTCTGATCTTGCCCGCATCACGTTCCATAACACTCAAATCGGCACCCACAGCCTCCGCCAAATCGATCTTGTTAATAACCAGCAGGTCACTACCCGTAATCCCCGGTCCGCCTTTTCGGGGCACTTTGTCTCCACCAGCGACGTCGATTACGTAGATGATGAAATCGGCTAGTTCGCGCGAGTAGTTGGCGGCTAGGTTGTCGCCGCCGGACTCGATTAGGAGGAGATCGGTGTTGAATTTGCGTTGCAGGGTTTGTAGCGCGAGGAGATTGGCGCTGATGTCTTCGCGGACGGCGGCATGAGGGCATCCGCCGGTCTCGATGGCGGAGATTCTTTCGGGAGCGAGAGCTTTGTTTCGCGTGAGGAATTCTGCATCTTCTCTGTATTGTTCGATACTGTTGTTAGTTTGTGTCTTTTGCCTCTTTCTTTCTTTCTATCAATAACACGCACTTTGTAAAGATATCGTTGGTCACAGCGGCAATGTTGTATTCATCCCTCAAGGCCAGGCATAATTTCAACATAAGGGCCGTTTTGCCGGATCCAACTGGTCTTCAAGGTTGATAATAAGATATCGGTCAGCAAGCATACTCCACGAAGCGTAAAACAGGAGCCAGAGAGACAAACCCGCCAATGCCAATTGTGTAAGCTCTATCCTTCCAATCCCTCCCATCATGTTGCGAAAGCGGCTGCTCGCGGTTCATATAAGAGCCTGGTCCGTCGTAGATCTCGTGCGAGTGGCCATGGCCTCCAAAGGCATCATCGTGGGAGTGCGAGATGCCACCGTCGTGGGAGTGAGAGTGACTGGGAGCTGACATTGTAGCTGGATAGAGATTCATGTCGGTTGAGTTATGTATTGTATGTAGTATAGATAGATACAGCTTTTATACCTTTCGATAATTTTTAATACCCCTCATCTTCGGTGTGGGGGAGGGAATGCTTGCAGCTCGTTCTGTGTAACTTACCCAGAATACATACAAATACATCGTACACTAGAGGATACGGCAGTATGTAAGATACAGTAATTGAACAATTATTTCGTATTAAGTGTTAAGTGTTAAGTGTTATGTATTAGATCAAGGTTCAATAAAATCGGACAATACCCAAGAGCCTGGCCAGAGCTCTCGCTAGCTCAGTTGGCTCATGGTCCCAACGACTCACATCTTTAATGTGAAAGAGAAAGCCCAAATCATATTCGAAGGCAAGACGACCTCCATCGGGATCTAGTGCGGCAAGGACTTTGAATTTGCGAGTACCTTCTCCCAAACCTTTTCCAAAAGAGATTTGAGCCCTCCAAAGAATGATGGGCTGAGACGTCCTTCAAAAGGCGTTGTAATTCAGAGTGTCGTTTGTATGAAGGGTATAGGTACGTTAATTTGGGGTTGATAAATCGCATGTTAAACTTGAATTGCACCACGCTGTTTTCAAACGTAGTTAAGATCTAGCTCATAAGTTGTCCGTCTCAACTCAGGATCCCAGAAAGGGAATGAATTTGTTGACATCAACGTAGACACCGGACGGCTGAGATCGCATCGAGATGAAATCCTCCACGTACATATACGCCCGACAGAAGACCTCAAGGATGCAGATGATGCTAACTGGTCCCAAAATGCGGAAAGGCAATATCATCTCTGGGTTATGATCAGGCGATATATTTCTCAATCTTTCCAGTCGTCTGCGAATAAAAAGCCGCAGTCCTTTCTCGCTTGCTTCAGATCGTTGACGTTGCGAATACTCTTCGGGAGCCTGAGTTGGCGAAGAATGTCGTCTTGTTTGACTCATCCCTATTAAGAAGTAGATCCCCCCAAATATTGAAAAAAAAGCATGGTAGACACTGCACACTATCCACAAAATCCTTTCTGTTTCCGTTGGGAAATGGAAGTTCCATGCTAGGATAAAAATGATACTGAAACCTAACTGGACGACCGAAGCAATAGGCGTATACTTTAAGTCTGGGCACAGCCAAGTATCAGAGCGAAATCGATCCCAGGGCCGAGATTTGATTGGTCTGGAAAAGAGTGGGATGTGAAATATCTCAGCGAGTCGTGTGTAATAAACCCAGTGCACGTCAATGGCAAAGCGATGGTGGTCAATAAATTCAAGTGGTGTTCGGTACCAATGAGCAGGGAGCGTAGGGTGAGTCTAGAAGATCACTGTAAGCGGCTTGTGAAGTAATTATAACACGTTCATTTTACTAACATGGCGTTGAGCGAAGTCGCGAATACCTTGCACAGTTTGGTCATCCCTAGTGTGTATACACCGTGGTCGTGAAATGGAGGGCTTGTAATACCAAGTTATGGAAGTAGCGAACATCATCATCGAAAACGAAATAGCCGTCAATTCCAAGGTTGTCATCGGTAAACCCAACGCGACTCTCTCAATTTCAGCTATAAGGAACCAAAACGTTTGGAAAATCGTGATGACGCTGAGATCATTAATGTCATGTATATCTATCTTTCATTACCGAATCTGAGCTTACCGAGATAAAGTGTCTGCGGAATTACGCTCGGATATGTCCATATCTTCCATGTTGGGAAACTCGACATACTTGTGATCAACTAGATAATATAATTGTTGGGCGTTGATTGGGAATCCATCAGGGAAATCCGGACTTTTTAGATGAATGCCGCCCATGTCGACGAAAAATGCATCCCTAAGCGTCCATTTCATATGCGGCACCGAGTCTGAAGCCTTGAACAGCTTTACCTCCCAAGATGTTAGCAAGCCTCCATTTTCAACGACACCCCTCTGGGTTGTTTGTGTTCTTGCTGTCTGCATTTCATACCTTGACACTCCTTCTTGCGCTCGAAAATTGGCCCCAAGCAATCCCGAAGATAAGGTCTGGGCCTAAAATTGCTATACAAGCAAGATTAAACTTGTCACGAAACCAATGATACCACTTATCTGACGGCGCACCGACATTCGTGAAGACAGATACCCAACAACAGAGAATAATTGTAACGCAACAAGACCATAGAATATCGATGCTGCCTCTTCCATTGGGTGATGAAACCCAGCCGTTGATTATAACGTCTGTGTGATTAGCCATGGATCGCATCTATCTCAAGCTGGTGGGTGGTAACGGCTACCTCGCTACGTGCAAATATATCGAATGCACTAATAAATGATAGATGAAGTAGGGTCAAGAGCAGAAAAAAATCCACTGCGCTCAAAGGCACACGCAGCGGCGTCTTTTGAAACGGTTTCAATATGCATGCTGAGGAGAAACCCCAAGCAGGGATATGCGCGAAACCAAAAGGGCATCAGCGAATCAACTCTGCCCATTTGCCGCCCAGGATCTATAGTCTCAGTTTGGGCATCAAACTAATTGTAGCGAATGCCAATCACTGGCGAAGGGAATCGGCGCGCTGCCGTTTTTCCTGCGTATTGTGCCACGTAATTTTTGCCATCAATACGAACTTATGCATGGTGAAAAATGATATCGTGCTTTCCCAAAAGCAAACATTGCTTTTTCCGGGACCGGATAAGTATACCACATAACCCGGTTCTTCGAATATAAGACAGGGCTATTTGTGCTTGCTATGATGCATATAATAGCTTAGATGCTAAGAAGAAATAGGTACTAAGTGTTTGTGAATACACAGGAGACTGAGACGACTGATTGGAATAGAAGGTAGAGAGAGGAGCATTAGTGAAACACCCCGAGATAAAAATAGGGTTGTGCTGAATCCTGAACTAATCCGGATTAGGAAAAAGGGTACAGTTGTTCACCTTCAAGGAAGGGAAAGGTGGGGCTACAGGTGTAACGGGTGTTGAAAAGTTTTAGTGTTAAAAGTGGATTGGGTGAATCAAAAGTCTTGGCACTATGTAGTTACCTGATTTCCATTGCCAAGCCTCTTTTTGTTAGATTTGCACACACGCTAAATTATTCAACACCCGTTCACCTGCGACCCGCCAACTTGCATGATACTAGACAGAAACTAGCACCACTGAGGAAAAGTGTTCGATTAAAGAACGACCTTAACACGAATCATTCGTGGCCAGTATACACTTGCCATGCACGACAAACGTATATACCAGTATACAGGAAGGACGTATACTAAAGCGTATACTGAGACAACTATATAAGCACGCTCTTTCATATACTTACTTTATACTTATCATACTTCTTTAGTCTACTTGCTTTGATTATACGCCGAGTCAGCAAGGCAAATTGTAGTTGAAGTATTATAACACTTCGAGGGGATTCTCCTATTCTGGTTGTGTTGTCAATTTCTATGTGTTTATGTTTATTACGACTCCATTTATCCAAGTCAATCAAACCTCAGAAAACCTCTGTTGTCAGAGGAACAGAACGTCACAGCAATGGATAAGGAACACTAATGCGTAGGAACAAAGGATTCTCCAAAGACCACCTACCTTGCTATGGATATTAAGATATAACGTATTTTCCTAGTAAACCGAACACCCGAGTAAACAGATTGGTTTGGTCATGTGACAATGTAGGTAACGGGTTACCCTTGGTCCTAACAAGTTTACAGCGCAGGGGATAAGGCGCTTCGCTGTCATGCAGGAAAACCTCTTCTAGTGGAGCTGAGATGTCGAGATGGCAAATCTCGTTTCACTCTCGGGTCCGGGCTTCTCCGAGGGTAGTCTGAAAGGAGAGTGAGAGTAGAAAGAAGAACGGAGTAAAGCCCTTGGACCGGTGTATTAGGTTTCGTATCGAGAAGTAGCAGCATTTATTAAAGCGCAAACCTTGGATAGGACTAGCTTAGAGTGCTTAGCTTTGATTATGTATCAATATGCCTAGATGTGGTAGGAGAGCTTGTGGAACAATCCCAAGTAATCCATGTTTATTAATCGTATTTGTAGGAAGTTGCAAACAAATAAAATCCATCACTGTCGACCAAGACTATCATCGCTCTTTTCCTGCCTCAATTGGAGGTCCTGGTTTCTTCGCTGAGATGGCTAAATACCGCCAAAGGCCACGACCCCGATACATCTGAACCCCAGCAACAGTATTGATAAAATACCGCTCTAAGCCAAAGAAGGTAATAACCAGGAAAGGAATGTAGGCAAGAAGGTAGAAAAGTCTTGCCATTGGTTTGATCCTTTCCGAGTAATCGCGTACGACGACTTCCGCGAATCCGGCATCTTCAAGCATTTGTTTAAACACACCAGGGTTTGAAAGAGTATTTGTTGGCATCGCTGCAAACTTGTTGATTTCGCGCATGGAACGTACAAGGGGCTCAGGGGTATCGTCGGTTAGTTCGTCGTGGTCATACTCGAACAAAGAAATGCGACCACCGGGCCGGAGTATGCGAAAGAAACCAGCCAAAACAGCCTCAGGGTCTGTAGCATGAACAAATGTTTCCATTGTGTAAACTCCATCAAAAGTGTCGCTTCCAAAACTTTCCAGGTGGTGGTAGTCCATTTTTCTCACATTCACCTGATTCTTGGGAAGGCTTGACCGAGCGAGATTACGGTTGGCTTTGTCCAGGTGGTGTTGAACAACGTCGATACCCTGGACTTTAAAGCCGTATTTACCTGCCAGGTGCATCGCAACATGGCCGACTCCACAACCCGCATCAAGAACGTATGCTCCCGATGGTAAGCTTAACGATTCTGCCATCTTATCTTCCATCGCGCGTAAGGCCCTGTTGATGGGGAATGGCCACCAGGTATCATATTCGTAATAACCGAAATGTCGAGTACCCCCGAGCACGAGCCGATAACCAATTCGTGATTCAAAAGAGTGGTAATAAGATTGAAGTTGACCGTTGATATTGACAAGTGGCTCTTGATCTGTGTCTGAGGCCATGGTGGATGGCATTATGATATGTGTCAAAACAGTTGCTTCCTGGTTCTCTGAGGTTGATCGCGACGTGGCCCTAGAGCTAACAGCGGTGCATTGCTGCAAACACAGCAAACAGGCCTCTCCCGAGTAAATCAGACCATTGATAACTTCTATGGCTTTTGTCCATTCTCCATATATTCCCAAAATGAGTTGTGTCGATGAACAATGATATTCTTTCTCCTCTAGAAGCCAGGATCTCAGACTTTGTACAGGTGGACTCGTTCCTCACCTCAACTTTCTTTAAGGTATGCTGGTAGTTTCTGGGAGCCTTGGAGCCTTAATGCTTTACGCTAGTACATAATAAGTTTAGTTACAACGTACAAACTCAAACTTGTTACGGCGTTACGGCAATACTGGGGGTTTCGTATAGTTAGAATCGGGGTTTTACACAAATCATTGGCCAGGACAGAATTTCCTATATTAGATGGGCATGAAAATCAACAATGGAGATCTACATAGCAATTAATGCGTAGTGATGATAGATGATACAGCCTGGGATAATTCGTGACAACGTTAAGCAAGAAGCCTCGAAAATAAACAGACAGGCAAGAAGAAATTAACAACTTGCAGAAGGGTAGTCGACAGAAGCCACGCACACGGTTCGCCTTTTTAGCAAGAGACAACGACGCACCAAAGCCGACGAAGAAAGACGTGTAAGCAATTAGTTTTGCTGGAGAAGCGGAGACCGAACGAGATGAAATACTACAAGAAATTCAATCATGTCCCTCTTCAGTTATTGACAGCGTCAATGCGACAGTGAGACGAGCATCGTATGCAAGGAAAGCATCACGCCGATAAACACCAAGTCAACAAGAACGAACAGGAAAAGAAATGACAATTATATAAAAGAAGATACAAGAGCATGCAGAACCCCAGAATATCTAAATCGCTGAATCACCTGCCGTTTCAAGCCATGTATGACCGCCGCTTAACGGAGACAAACGAGGCTTCAATGAAGAAAAAGCCATGGTATCGCATTCCCATACGTATCGGGATCCAAAAACATATCAATGTAATGCGTATCGCAAAAGTCAAACGAGCTTCGGACCATAACCGAAGCAGACACAGATAACTCGACGCCATGCGTAATATGGTTCACAGAAGATTGCTTGGGAAAAAGGAAACACAAATCAAATCGTAGTCAACAGCAAACGAGAAAATAGGGAATCATATATCCAGGGTGAGAAAGAAGAAAAATAGTAAGCACGAACTCCCAGCTAGAGAAACAAAAATAAATAGCAAAAGTCCTGCCTGATACGCCAGTTACCGATTTTCCCCTTTTTGGAAAAGAAACCAAAAGTGGTAAAAGTATACCAAGGAGTAGCAAGAAATAAACCCTAAGCATTGCCTTTATGCCTCTTACCAGCACCAACCTTGGGGCTTGCTCTCACTTTAGGTGCAGGTCCGGCTCCATTCACTTCAGCACCGTCATCACCTTCGGTTTTGACAGTGCTTGCACGGCGGCGTTTGTTTGAAACATTCGGGCTTGTGTTCGCACTGGCCCCTTGACTACCATTCGCCGCTAAAGAAGTCTGGTTTTGCTGAGGTATCACCCCAGGTCCCATAATGTGGTTTTGCGCCGGACTCGGATGAGCCGAGTTTCCTAGGTGCGGAGAAGCCTGTGCGCCAGGTAGCCCCATGTGGCCTACTGAAGGAGAAGCAAACTGGGATGGACCATTAAGGCCAGGTGTACGCTGGCCTTGAACCTGCTGTTGAGCGGAGGCATTCATACTCTGTTGGACCATCATAGCAGTAACATCTCGAAGTATATCCATAGAGCTCTTCTGAGGGTTACTCGTACTATGATATATCAAACTCGTCATTGACGACATAGTCTCCGCGATCTACATAGCATAACATGTTAGTTATTTGATCAGTCCAATAGGAATTTTCAGCTTTACCTCGAGGAAACACTGGACACTATGCGGAAGTCCATTTGCGTTTACTAACGACTCTGGGGGGGATATCGTAGGCTGTACGGGCGCCTGCTTCTGCTGCATTCGTTTGCTAGCATTCTTGGTCACACGGGGACTTGGCTTCTGTTCAACTGGTTCCGGTGGTTGAAGAAGGTTGCGAGGGATGTATTCCCGAAAACCAGAAACGGATATATCAACCAAGTCAAATTTGAAATCCGGGTTAACAAGCACTTTGAGCGAACCATTGACAAAGAGCTATTTAGGGGTTAGATTGTATATCGCTATTTATGGGATCAGAGTTGACAAACCTGACAATCATTGGCGAACCAATAAATGAAACTAACTTTAGGACTAAACACGACGCGGTAGCCGTTTTGAGGAGAAAATTCTTGCGTCGCCTCCATGTGTGTTTGGATCCTCCTGATGCCGTTATTGAAGAGCGTGACGTAATAGCGAGGTAGGATGGTTGCATTGACCTCGAAAGATTTTGATCCAGTGCCTGGTGTCAGCATTCCCTGGCGCAAAACGCCCCAGGGCTGGCCAGTGGCCCCGTGGAAGGTAGTATTGTAGTATTTATTCACGACGTCTTGCCAGAAAATGAGATCCGCATCTTCGCCTTTGCTCTGCAAAATGGAAGACGGGTAGAATTAGTAAATTTGCGCTTCGTATAATTAGCAACTGTCACGAAAACCATACCTCATAATTGCTTAAAGTCTCGAAATAGCTATTGACATATTGGGTCAATGACCCTTTGTTATTTTGCAAAAATGAGTTCATATTCGCCCGCCGTTGTTGTTCCATGATGATTTGATGTTGCATTTTCATATGTTCTGGATTAGACATAGCCTGCTGCTGTTGTTGAGTCATTTGAACTTGTCCTTGTAGCTGTGGCGTTGGTTGTGGGCCATTCTGTGGTTGCACTTGAGACGGCGGCTGCTGTGGTTGTTGCTGATTAGGTTGGACCTGCGGCTGTGGTTGCTGCTGGGGTAGCGTTGGCTGTGCGGGAGGAATCTGTTGATGTTGAGGATTGGGTGTCGGTTGTGGTGGCGGTTGAGAACCCTGGTTAGACGGGGGTTGCGGAGTTGAATGCTGTGGAGGATTAGACTGCTGCGATGGTGTTGCGCTTCCAGGAGGAACTGGAAGACCGGGTTGCGGTTGGGGAGTAACGCTTTGTGGCGGTACTGCTGCTCTCTGTTGCGGCGTATGCTGGCCTTGTTGATTGTTTGCCTGAGCTGCCGCTTGCGCCTGTGCTTGCTGCATAGCAAGAAATTGTTGTTGTTGTTGTATATTCGGAGGCAGCTGCGGCATCTGTTGCTGAAAATGCATCATATTAACTGGCCCGCGCATATTAGGATTTTGCATAGCAGACAATTGGGCTTGGCTGAGTCCCTGCGTTCCAGCTGGTAGAGAGACAGGTATGCCGCCATGGTGCGCGAGGTGCTGCTGTTGCGCAAGTATCCGCTGTTGGTGTCGCGCTAGCATCTGCTGCTGTTGTAGCATTTGATTGCTGTTCGCGGGATCTGTAGAACGATGAGGTTAGGGCCAAGACAACCGCTGAAAATAATCCAAAGGCATGTAGTGTAGCAATTCCCGAAGAAAAAGAAAGAAAAAAAAAAAAAAAAACTTACTCATTCCGAACTGCTGCTGTTGCTGAAGGAGATGTGCTTGCGCAGGACTTAGGTGTTGTAGAGCATGTGCATTTGGCACTGGTCCGCCAGGACCGGTTGTCGCGCCAGGAGGCATACCGGCCATCATGGGTCCCGGTTGGCTAACCTGAGGCCCAGCAGCAGCGGACACACCAGGGTGCATCTGTTGCACCATACCAGGTCCTTGAAGGCCCATGTTCGGATGTTGAGCTTGACTCATTGGATGACCAGGAGGCAACCCGGCATGTTGAGGAATGCCTTGATGGGCAGGAAACGGCTGAGTCATCATCATCGCTATGTCCAATGAGCCCTCAGCCGCGTGAAGGCTTGCGAGGACGACCTAAATCGCACGATATTGTAACGATGGCTAGGGACAAAGGCACTCCGAATGAGCTGCGAAATGCGATCGATACGAGGCGAACGCGGTCAATCAGATACCGATTGCGATAACAGTACAAGCCGCGTTAAGCGTCCGATGGAAGGCCAGGACACTGCAGGCTGGCGACAGAGCCTGGGTCAAGACGGGCCAGGGACAGGCACACCCAAGAGCATCGATCACGACCAGATGCTGAGTCGCGTCTCCGTGGTGATTCGGCGGATCAGAGCAGCCCTTGTCAGGCGGACGCTTTCCGGAAGAAGGCGCTTTGAGAACCTCTAAACGCAATGGCGAGGCAGCAGGAATTCTGATGTAGCAATTCTTGAGGCCGGGGCGGCCGTTTGGGGATAATGGCTGACTGCCTGCACAGAGAGATGGAAGGTTTCGGAGAGGGGCTAAGTTAGGTAGGGGCTGGGCTGCCTGGCTGGCAACTTCAAGTGGCCCAAGAACGGCAACGGCGAATTTCAAGACGGACACCGGAGCCTCACCTCACTTTATCGAGAGTCTCTTCCGTGGCGTGATCAACGCACGTCAGGCTATCTTGACTGAGTCTCTGGACTGCGAGAAGGGAAAAGCCAGACTGTCTTAGGGCGATCAGGAGACACGATGAGAAGAAAATCGAGGGAAATCCGCTGCAGGAGCACGGCATACGCAGCTGCCATCCCGAGCGTGTTCTGAGGCACGCCAGGCCTATCCGGGAGATCACGTGCGCATCGCGCTATTTTTTCCCGCCTTTCCTTCGGTCGATTTGTCGGTCATATTTTTTTTTTTCCCTATTTCTTCTAGTCTTTTTCTTTCCACAAGCAATAATGGACGCTGAGTGCTGCTACTTCCTCTTAGACATCCGATCTTAATTGCCCGACGATCTTCTCGTACCAGGTTAGTTTTCCATCACACGCTGCAACCTTTCACAATCCCTCCGTCTACAAGATGACAAACCACTTTTTTTCTTCTTTATTACCTGAATCGCCCCTGAAGAGACATTCGGGCCTTCCTTTCCCGGTTGGCCTGCTACTTGCCAGTATACCTTGTCTGATCCTTTACTTTGGAGATCCATATCATTCCTTCGTTGCACTAGTCACCTGGATGGCATCATGCTAACATGACATGGCTAGAACTGATCACCTCGAGTTTGGTACAGCGGTCGATGTAGGAATCACTTTGAAGGGCGGCATACCAGTTTGATTTCATGGGAATAGACCCAACTTGCACTTTGGCTCTGCTTGGACATGGTGCGATTCGCTTAATCTATATATATAGGTAATTCTTTGACCATGAAGTCTACGCTTTTGGAAATAGTAATACATTCAAATCAGCTAGCGATATCAAAAATATATCTTATACAGATGTCTGTCAAACGTATAACAATGCTTGTTTTTTTTTTTTTTCTCTTTGTATAAGAAAGAAAATGTAAACACGCTAAAAAAAACCGACACCTCAGGAATCAGGCAATAAACTTCAAAGGAACGCCAAGCCTAGACCCATCTGAGATTCTGAATCCTATCTTAGCTAGTCCAATTTTGCGCTGTCGTTTCTTTGAACTACCTAGGTAATAATAGACCGAGTACTACTGCCATCCATCAAAACACCGGCTCTCACGACCCCATACCATTGCATCTTCGGATGCCCTTCTGCACACTCTGCCCTAAATAGCAGAAGCATTTCCTCCTTGTTTCTGTTCAAAAAGACATATTGAGCTGGTCTCACCAGGCCGTTGCCATGCAAAGTGCCTTACTCCTACCATCCCATGTCGTTCGGTCCTGTCGTCTCATCGCTGGTCGTCGATACGCGCCCTCGTTGTCTACATCTTCTCGCTACTTTCATCACTCGCTTCTTCGGCAGTCTCGGCCCTCGTCGGAATCCAATGGCTCTTCCGGCGCGAATCACGACACCCCGAAGGAGGTAAAGCCAGCCGCTGTGGATACTCAGTCTTCAGAGCAAGGTCGGGATACAGCTTCTCCGAATCAGTCCTCAGCTGGACGAAGGAGTTATATAGCGGGTCTTCGTCGTACATGGAAGGATAAGAAATTTCCGGCTGAAGATATCCCCGTCGCAGCCACGATTCCTCAATGGTTTCTCAATGAAAACGTTATCACGTACGGGCAGGTCGACCGTCTCGAGGGTCCAACACCCACTTTGGTGGATGTTCAGCGACAGCCACAATCACCTGTTGATGATGGTGTAAAAGATCGCCAGGCGAGCCCACTGGAGAATGGTAGTGAGGCTGGCAATAGCGGAGCTCCTGAGTCGACTGATGGCGGTAGTCGCTATGTAGTAAGCTCCGATTCTTGGGAGAAGTTGCACGCAGCAGTCAAGGCAGGGTTTATGTTTCCGTCGGCCAAGTACGCCGATGATCCAGCGACAGAAAGGTCGCATCTCCTTGTACGATATCCTGGCAACGACGGGACCGACGGAATTCTTTTTTTGAACGCCGTTGTGCAAAGGCTTGCCAAAGAAGTAGAAGCGGATCTGGTGACTTTGAACGCTCAAGATATCGCTCGGCTATGCAGCGAACAAGAAAGGGCAGAAGGTGGTGCGGTATCTTCCATTCGAAACTTGGGTTATGAAGTTTACAGCGACTGGAAAAGACTATCCAAGCCAGATGTGGGCGGTGAATGGTCTGATGAAATAGCTGGGGATGATGTCGAGGGTTCATTCCCCATCGCGGGCTCTAACATTCGCCCGCGCATAGTATCTGTTGAAAGTAGCCTTCCCGACACACAACTCCCCAATTGGTTGCTGTCCCTCACAGGGACAGGCGCGGACAGTACGAGCAATCGAGGAGCTCGTACGGAGACAGGTACCTGGTTGCGCCTTATAAATCAATTAATATCGCCATCCCCACAACCAAAGCCTGTTTCCAATAACGGTTCTTCGGAGCCAAATCACGAGACTGGTCAAGAATCGAATGATCAGCCAAGAATGATCATTCATATACAAAATTATTTGGAAGTGATGAAATCTCGCGAGGGCTCCAAATTTCTCAGATTATTCTTCAAGACGATTCATAGCCGGCGGCGTGAGGGCCAAAAAGTACTACTTATAGGAACCTCCTCACAGCCTCGAAACTCACTTGCAGACCCGACAAGAGCGAAGAAGATCAATGAGCAAATGACGCTCTCTGTCGATACCTCGGCTGTGCCTTTCGGATTTCCTCTTTGGGTCGTTCCCGCGATGGAAACGTCAATTGTAGATCGACTTCTGGCAGAAGACCGAAAAGCCCACATACGGCAGACGAATATACGCAATCTTCAAGACATGATTCGCAAGCGAGTGGATTATGATGCCATTCCCATAGACGACGAAATATTTGATATGGCTTCTTGGCCCACGGAAGCAGATACAATTTCTGACCTACGTTTAGATTCTCACTACTGGTTTTTCAGTAGCGTTCATCATCATATCACATTAGCCATGGGCTGTGTACAGCCGAACGAGACGTTTAGTTTAAAACACATTCGACAAGCTTGGAGAATTCGGGCGAGGAATATAGGCATTCGTGACGAATGGATTCAGGACCCAACATCAGGCACAACCTATGCGGATACACCTGGAGCGAACGGAACATCGAAAGTGGATGCGGCTCTACATCTTGGATGTAACAAATATGAAAAGAAGCTTCTCAGTGGCGTCGTCAAGGCCGACAGTATCCGCACGACGTTCGCTGACGTCCACGTCCCCCCAGGGACGGTGGAGGCATTGAAGACACTGACTTCCCTGTCTTTAGTAAGACCGGAGGCCTTTACATACGGTGTCCTTGCAACTGATAAAATACCTGGGATGCTTCTGTACGGACCGCCTGGCACAGGAAAAACACTTCTTGCAAAAGCTGTGGCTCGAGAGAGCGGTGCTACCGTCCTTGAGATCAGTGGATCCGACGTCTACGATATGTACGTTGGTGAAGGCGAGAAGAATGTTAGGGCGATCTTTACCCTGGCGAAGAAGCTTAGCCCATGTGTGGTATTTATTGATGAAGCAGACGCTATTTTTGGCTCCAGAAACCAAGGACGAAACCGACCTACTTCTCACCGGGAACTTATCAATCAATTCCTGCGCGAATGGGATGGTATGAATGATATGTCCGCTTTTATTATGGTAGCGACAAACAGACCATTTGATCTCGACGACGCTGTTCTTCGACGTCTTCCCCGGAGACTCTTGGTGGATCTGCCCACCGAACAGGATCGTGAATCTATTCTCAAGATACACCTGAAGAATGAACAACTAGATCAGTCTGTAGACCTCTCAGACTTGGCACATCGGACTCCATTCTATTCAGGATCTGATCTCAAAAACGTCTGTGTGGCTGCTGCACTTTCTTGCGTCCGCGAGGAATATGAGCAGGCAGCTAATCATACGGGTGACGCACCGTATCAGTACCCGCCGCGACGTGTTCTTAACAAAGCACACTTTGAACGTGCGATGGAGGAAATCAGCGCATCAATCAGTGAAGACATGTCGTCACTGGACGCCATTCGCAAGTTCGACGAAAAGTACGGTGATCGCAAAGGTCGGCGCAAGAAGAACCCGGCATGGGGGTTTATGCCTGTAGGCGATGCACAAACGGCGTCAGATACCATTCGCGTGCGGACCTGATCTCCATCGTTAGTAATGCTATAGTTTCGACTTGTATTTTTACTCTGTAACACTGTTGTTATATATAATGTGTACCATATTTGAAGACGACCTGTTAGATTCGGATATACTGAGGAAGGCCTCGGTTTAATAGATATGCTTGTTCAGTTTGAGCCAGTGAACGAGCCTTCTACCACAAAGCTGCCCAGCAAATGAATCTATAATACATATCATTGCAATGCGAAGTAAGTTCGGAGTAACTATACATGCGTACTTACCAACTATACGGCGTGTACTCCGTACTCTGTAAGGATACGGAGTAAGTTCGGTATTTATCAGGCGATTAATTACACCCAATGCGGCAGTCAGGGGTGGCTCCCACTAGCGGCAATTTACTCCGGGCGCTTTCCTTTCGGCATCATTGGTCGCCGCCTTCCACAGTTGATCTTCCTCTTGCTTTGCATCACGAGCCCAGTCTCTTCACATCACTGATACCCAACCTTGGGCGGAAAAAGACAACATCACAGCATTTTTATTATTGTTATTTGCTAGAGGTTCGTGGTATTGACGCCGCAATTCGAAAGACCAGCTTTCCCCGCTCGCTCCTCCCCGCACGGAACAATTGAATTGTTGGAATGGAAGTTGGGAAAACAAAGGCCGGACAAACCAAATAATGGCTACCAACACATCGTCGTCTACATCTGTGTTCCCTACTTTTCGTCGAAAGTCAGTCAGTAAAGCGGCAGATGCAGAAGCGAAACAGAAACGGGAAATAGCTGTGCGGGAGGCAAAACAACATGTCAGAGATGTCGTTCGTGCAGACTGGGCTTTTGACGCCCCTTGCACACTTTGGTCATCGTCACCGACATCTTCCTCGCTTTTGTCAAAGACGGCAGCTTTAGCAACCGCAACAGCAACGGCATCGGTTTCGAATATCCAATCTGGCACGGATGTGCGAGCCAACATTGTGCAGTGGCGGATGCGAGAACCGGGGAGCAGCTCCGAATCTGATTCAGAGTTGGATACTCATGTTCGTAATGCTTCCGAGTGCGTCAGTGCAAAGGCGGATCCGTACAGATTCGAGGGTCCAGATGCTATCAAATCTACCATCCTGGAACGTGGTCGAAGACGCCGAGCAGATCTGGAGCAGGAAATGAAGTGGAACCCGGGACTACGGTTTTTTACGGAAAGACGGGACACATGGACTGGAGCAAAAATACGAAGGAGCGTAGTGCAGCGACGGCGACGACGAGCGTCTGCCAACCTTCAGTCCTCCTCATTGTCACCAAAAGAAGGAGACGAGGTTACAACACCATCTCTCAGCCGAAATGCGGAGGGTAACAGTAACGTCGATGTTAGAGCAAATTTTAACTCGCTAGAAAAGTCTTCTTCGCCAGTACGGCTTTCGACCGATTTGCTTGAAGATCTGGCGCTATCAGAAGAAAAGTCGAGAAATACAACTACAACCACGGAAGAGAAGGATGATGCTCACTCTGACCGCTATGATTTGGATGGAGATGATGCCGACAGTGACGATAATGAAAACTACGACTACGACTCTGATGATTCGATGATACCAGTGATGGAGCCATTTATTGCTGATTCCAACTATGTAAGATCATCAATAACACCGGCTATATATGCGTCATTGTACAGTAAGGTAATAGTCCAAGGACTCACGCCTACAATCCCCATCAATCTCTCTGATATTACAAGAACACTGGTGGCAGGATGGAAATCAGATGGTCAATGGCCACCCAAACCCACGGTTCCTCCACCAGGGTCAGACGTGCCGGTACGAAGGAAAGGCAAGGGTCAGTTCTCATCAAAGAATGACAATGTTACGGTCGATGGTGTTGTAAGTGGTGGGCTTCTTCCTCCTGCTGGTCGAAAGCCTAGTTTCAGTAATCAGGCGACAAATGCAGTCAAGAAGGTTTTGGCGTTGTCTTCTCATTCTTTCCATCTTCGTCGATCGAGTCGTGATTCCACGGAAGTCGCTTCTCCTACTTTACGGCGTACGTCAGCGGCAGATGGTTCTGTAGCTGATGCTCCGCTGGTGGAGGTGGAAACGAGGCATCCTCATGGGTTCAAAAAGCCTGCGTAGGCTGATCAGATCAAGATTGGCTATGTTTCATTATTGTTATTATTGTTATCATTACTACTACCATACTTAACGAATCAGACAAGATGCGCATGACTATTTTACTTGTTTCGAGTATCCAATCATGCCTCTGGGCATTGACGTCCTTGCACATGACTTCAAGTTCCATGAGAGGTGCCGAAGCCAAACCTTGACAACAAGATATCGATCCTCCAGCAACTACAAGACACATGAAGGAATGGCATTAAATAAAGAGACCCAGTTGGGTCTCCCCCCGTCCACAAAGGAACATTTCTATTAATCAATGGTTCAGTTCGAGAAAGCCTACCAAGACATGAGAGTCGGGCGTCGTTTCAACCCCAAAACACACGCCGAGACGAGCGTCAACCTATACATGGTCATCCCAAACGTCAATCAACAAACGTACGACCGCGAACTTTAATGTTCAAAAGACTGCACTTTAATCGAATCCTTCTACCCAGAACTCAATGTTCTGGTTATCGAAAGGCCCGTGTGAGCCCACGAGAGTGCTCGGGGGTTTTTGGAGCAAATCATTATCCAAAAGCTTGTGGCCATGGAGATGGAACCAGTCTATGCCATGCAATTATTTGATGGAGCACATATCAAAAGCAAGAGTCGCATCAAATGCCCTGATTTGTCTTAAATGCCCGAAGATCTCCTAGCTGGAAGATTTCCCTGGGGGGCCGACATTCGTCGTGGAGGTTGGCTTGGGGCGAGCCAAAGCGGAAACTTGATCAGAATGCTCGTTGGTGGCTAAACGAATCTGAAGAAAGAGATGTAAAGCCGCTTGGACTATCAATATCAATAAGCTGAAGGAATTTAGATATTCAAATCGAAGCCTGATCTTTGATCAATCGCCCGACAAGGGCAGGGAAAGGACCAGGGGTCACTCAGCGCGTTAGAATATGGAAGCCGAGTGACGATGATGCCACCCCCATCCGCGTTAGTGGCAATGATCCCTTGAAACTAGCCTTTTCAGATCTAATCCTTCGAGAGGCCAAGGAATATGAACGCGATATCCTCTTAGAGAAGGACGATTTGATGTATTTGGCAAGGAAGGTATGGCGTGAGGCCAAATCTGAGCTCCATGAGGATGATTATGATGGCCATACGGAGGGGCCGCCCAAGAGAAGGCTCGTTGAAAGGAATTTCCCCCTTGTGAGCATCCTAGGGGTTCACCGCTATAGTATAGACTCAGGGCTGTTGTTATTTTCAGCTGCTGTCCTTCTGATTATCAAATGGCGTAATATACTCAAGTGTCTTGGTGCTTTTGAGACCAACTTTCTCCACGGTAATCTTATAACTATTCCTCATAGGCTTTTTATGATATGCTCTTCCTTCTTTCTACTTCCCAAGAAGTGGCCGCCGGTGGATATGGATTTTCTGCAAGACCAAATAGGTGGTGACCTTTGCCCTCCCTCCAATTGCTGTGAAATATGCATCTTCTACTGGAAGATAAGGCTAACAGCATTGCACAGTTCTAATACTGAACAAATTCAATGGCTGACTGCTTATGCGGTGCAAACAGGCTTCTTTCGTTTCAGGGAGTGTACAGGTGGCAGTGCTGCTGTGCTACCATCTTCAGGCTTGTGTAGAATAACGGGGGCGAAACTCGTTGGCTTTCAACGACACCTAACTAGTATATCACTTGAATACAGCTGTTGATCAAGAGGCTTATGGTTACACTTTTTTTTCATCTATTTCACTAAGAGTGGATCTGTTGGCAGCAAAAACTTCACCACCGTTGTAAAGTAACATTATGCCCTAATTCCGAACTATGAGTGAGGCACTGCTAGCAAACATGCAACTACCTGATGCAGGCCCCACGTTGGCTTCCTGCAGATAACAGATCGGTTTCATAATGGCCCCAATCGTGCCCTTGGTTGGTCCACAAATTTAGATACCAATTCTCGTTCCCATGCAGGGGTGTTGTACGCTGGCCAACCAGCGCTGTGAGATAACCGCCCATGTAAGTGACTTTTAATCCTATATCACGGCGAGTCAAAAACGTGCCTTGGGACCGGATTCCAGGTGACAGGTATCTTAAAATAGACTTTGGCTACACTCCAGTCAACTTGATGTTCATACTCGTATTCAGCAGTATGTTTTTCATTGCCTGGGATTTCTATTTCCCAAGCGCATCGGAACGCCTTCTATGGCGCATTGCTAGTATATACACTATCGCATTTGGCCTTATTGGGAGTGTCATTATCGAACTCTGGATCTTCATATTCCTCCCTCGATTCAAGGAGACGGCAAAATACGAATTGAGTTTGTTTGAGGAATTGCTCAAGGAAGAACCGTTTCCTAGTTGGTATATGACGATTCTTGGTCGGAGCAAAGATGACGATGATGCCTGTGCTCCTATTTCAGGAGCTGCTGAGAGTCAAAGACTATACGATCTCACGGAGAAGCTGACTCCAGGCCCAATACGTCGTTTCTTATCTCGGACTGTGAACATATCTCCCGACAGCGACCCGCATATGAGTATGCCTATTGGTCTTTTGCTTCCGTCGACGGTTCTCTGTGCTTTGTATATGGTTTGCCGGATTTATATTCTCACGGAGGACTTCATTGGACTTAGGTCTCAGCCTTCAGGGGCATACGATACAGTTGATTGGCTCTCGTTTATTCCACATATATGATCTTGACGTATTGCTAGGAATATACCCCTGCATGTATGTAAGTATAAATATAGATTCGTATGTATGTATCTGTATGAAGGAAGTGAGAATTCAACTCTTTCTTCTTGCTAGTGAACATTACCTCAATAGAAAAGAAACTGCAAACCGAATCATTCATGAAAGACTTCATACAGATATAACCAAATAGAAACACGCACAAATGCCCTATCAAGAATAAGAAAACGAAAGAAACAACAAAGGCAAAAAAAAAAAAGCTTCCACGTCATAATCCATTTCTCCGTTGTGCACCGTTAACAAAAGTATAATTCCATCATGAGACATACAGTATATGCGAAAAAAGAGAAGAGAAGAAAAGGATATCATATCAGACTGGGTTTTAGGGAATAAACAGCGGTCTTCATAAGGAATATCGATTTTACCCTTTAGTTGAGGCGGAATGCGTCGAGGATTACTATTCAGAAGATTAGTACTCTTTTTTTTTTTTTGAAGGAACTGAGGGGTGAAAGGGGGAGTATATTACCTTCATGACCACGACGACAACCAGAGCCCACCCACATAACAGTATTGACAAATGCGTAACGCTCATCGCCACTCTCCATGGACAGATTAAGGCGGTACTTGTACGTATTCGGGTTGATGGTGTCGGCATGACTAGGGTCGCTAAGTTTCTCTAGCACATCTTTGGCCCCGGTTAACCAGCCATTGGCCTTGACGATAATGTAGGCCGCCGGCTCATCGGCTGTTTGGAGAACGTAGTTTGCGCTTAAAGATGTGGCCATTTCTTTGACTGTGACTTGGGAATCTTGGCCGCCGGGCTGTGATTCCTTGTTAGTAAAAGCACATAGCAATAAGGAGCATGACTAGACGTACCAGAATGATACCCTTGCCCCATCGACCAGCCCATTGGCCCCCAACAAACGTCACCCAATCACGCCCACCCCAGACAGTGCTGCCAATGCTGACTTTGGGGTTCAATTTAATGCTCATGCGGAAATCGAGTTCGACGCTCGGGACGGGGATCTGCAGAGAGCGAGCAATATCGCCCTCGGGGAAAGTATGCAGCAGGTTGTTGGCGGGAATGGAATCCTTCATGACATTCAGATAGGTCGGGCATTCAAGTAAATGTTGGCGTTGACGGCTTGTGTTCTTCGCGCGTACCTGTTGGCAATAAATACATTGCACGGACAGGCACTATATCATGTAAGCTAAGATGGAAAAGGGACAAGGGCCAATGGAAAGGGAAAAGGACTTACTTTGTCTTCCTCCTTTGCGCGGAACTCCACAAACGCAGCATGGACGTCGTCAAGCGGTGGCGCGGGAAGATTCGATGTGCTCTGGCGGTTCTGCTTAGGCTTCGGGGTGGAGTGGCTGCGTTGTTGGTGAGAGAGCGGTGTCGACGATGGACCGCCGGCTTGCGACGAGCCTGGCGCGGGCAACGAGGGGCGATTCTGGAGATTCTGCAAGGGCGTCTGGATTGGAGTGGCATGCGGATTGACTCCATTCGACAGCATAGCTCCATTGGGGGTGCCTAGTTGCGCGGCGCTGGAAACGGGTCCTGGCGCCGCGGCGGAGGGCCCAGTGGGAGTGGCAGCGTAGGCATTCGCGGCGCCAATGCCGTTAGGGCCAGTTGCAGTTGCCTGAGGCTGGGGCGCAGGAGGATGGCCTCTGAGACCGGGACATTCCAGCAGGTGTTGCTTCTGGCGCGAAGTATTCTTTGCGCGAATCTGCTGGCAGTAGATGCATTGGACCGACAGGCACTGTAATTAACGAAGTCAGTATGGGGTGTCATGTTAATTACCAAGATACAGGATACAGGTCACGTGCCTTATCGTCCTCCTTAGCGCGGAACTCGACAAACGCAGCATGCACTTCCTGGTCAACCGTACGACCCATCGTGTTTTGAGCTGTTATTTTGCCTTTGCGTGTTGCACAGCGAGGAAAGGCGCGAAAAAATTGGGTGCCTTCAGGCAGTCAGGCTGTTTTATGCTGGGTATTGTCCAACAATACGCGAATTTCCAATGAATTGGGCTGGCAATACCAAAAGAGAGAGGGGAAAAAAATTTTGCCCGAGATAAATCAAGCAGTAAAGTAAGTAATGACGGCAAGGCGAGGGAACAAAAGGGTATTGGAAAGGAAAACTCGAGAGAGGGAGGAAGAGTGGGAAAAACGCGAAAGAAAAAAAAAAGGTGGAAAATACTGGAACAAAACCGGCGCGGTCGGCGTATTTGTCACCCCGTGACATGGGCCAACGTACCAACGCGGTCATTACCGAAACAATAGCGCCCCTACGGCCAGTGATTGGGCGAGATGCTCGAGCCAGCGGGTCTGGCGTGTCAGACCATTACGAATACGGTCCGACCAAATGGCTCTCGTACGTAACACGTAACACGTATTATCTTCGTCTATCTCAAGCATACGCTTGATGCACATTTAATATTTACATATTAGTTATTAAAGTACCCAATGGGCTATGAAATAAAATCAGTTCTTTGCTCTCTCCTTTTTTTTGGGCGCTCTAATTTTCGCGCCCTCAGATGCGCGCGCTCCGGGCCAAAGGGCTGTGCTGCAAACGATCTCTCTGATTTGCCGCGCGTGGCGCCCGAGTGAATTTCTGAATCATGCCATTCTTTGCCCAAGTTGACTGGCTGGGCTGGGCTGGGCTCGTAAGGCGTAAGCTAATTTTGAAACGGCTGGCTAATGAGAGCGAGGAAGGCAGCTGGCCGTCCTCAGGCATGGCCGAGGAGAGAGAGACGTTGATATAAAGATGTCTCTTAAAATTTTTGTAAACTCGGGAAGAAGACATGTCATTTCTAGCGGTACTGTGGATGATTTCTTGAGCTGTCGGACCCGGCTTGGAGTATTAGTATTTCCATAAACCATACGCGAGACCGTTTGCTGAATAACCGTGACGAGAATGTGGTATTACTTACATACTCAGCTGTGTATGTATCAACTAGTTCGATGCTCGAAATACAGCGGCAGTCAAATACAGCATAACTATAAATCAGTGGAATATAAAATGATAGATCCTTGCTCGTGAAAATCAAATACCATCGTACTGTCTCAGTGCTATAACTTTCGGTCATGCGCTGCAATGCCCCTTACTCCGTACATTATTCGTCATATCGTCGTGTTTGCATGGTACGTAATTCGAAGAAAAATAGATCAGAGGAAATACCATCTAAGAGTATTAGAACAGTCAAGAGAACGGTAGCGATTTCCTAGCCTCTGATCACTAGGCGTATCTCGTCGAGGTCGTCAATAACGTACGCCGGTCCTTGGCAACGCTTGCTTTGCGAAACCTGGATGATACTTTTGCTCGCAAGTGTCAGCACATGCATCAGTGCTTGCGTTGCCACTGCGCGAGAGGTAAGCTTTGGTGGTAATAATTTGGAGAACGCCATTTTCTGAGATTGAGATGACTCCTCGCCGTCTTGAGCTAGTCTCGCATGTTGAACGCGAACCTTCAGAAAGTCGACGAAGTTTCTGTCCGTGTCATCGAGGCTCGACACTGTGAGCTGACTTTCGAATTTGGAAAGTTCTGCATGTTGTGCGGACTGGTCTTCATCCATGAAACCCCCTGATCCATCGTCATGAAACCCCCCGAAATCCCTGAGCGACAGACTGCTGAGACTGTCATGACCGAATAGGTCCTGAGGCAAACCTCGTCCTGCAAGCGGACTAGCACTTGGGAAGCGGCTGCCTCGTCTACCTAAGCCGCCATAATAATAACGAGACACACTCGAAGAGCCTGCGACTGATCCTTGCAGAGATGCTGTGATATTCCACGGCATTTGGGAAGGAGCATCGTCAGGGAGAGACGGCGGAGCATCAAGACCAAGTTCAACATCCTATAGTATAGGAGTTAGAAGCATAAATAACACGAAACTGTTGCATCACTCACCTCCTGCTGGCCACCTGGTCCACCTGGGTGAGCCACACTGACTTCAAGTTCTCCATGCGAAACTTTTGGGCGCACATTTCTTCCTTCTTCGTGACTGACATCGCTGGAACTACGCTTCCGTCCCTGCTTGGTCATGGGTTGCTCATCTGAAAGAGCAATAATAAGTGCTTCTCCGCAGAAGCTTTTCAAAGGATGTGATACACAATCGACACCGAGACCTATCCCAACAGAGCCGATACCACGACCAGAGATCCATGATGTCGCATTCTTTCTAGCTTGTGCAAGACTTCTGGCGTACGCCTTTTGAATATCAAGGCGAGACATGTTTTGTAGGTATTCCTTATCCCATAGGAGCAACTCTCCTCTAGCAATCTGGGTTAGTGCGTCCATTTCCAAAGCCTTCCGTGCTCTGATCTTCCGATTAGATCCTGCGTTTCGATCCTGTGGGGATTTGTCAACATACTCAGGGTCGGGGAGGCGACCCCAGGTTGGGGATGACCCTTCACGCGCATCGAGGTTATCGTCCTGTTGAAGACCGTCACGAAGATTGTTCCCAACAGGAGTGACCATTGTAGCATTTTCCTAAAAATTGAGTATTGATTTAATCAATGCCACTCAGAGTTGAAACTCGAAATGGACTTACTTGTGGAACTTGCACGATATCTTCCGACCTGCCCCTGACTGGCGTCTCAACTTGTATGGCTGGAGCGTCGGTCATAACAAGATCAAAAATGTTACCTTCTTCGTCGAAATCGAAGTCGGGTTGAAGAAGAACACCCTCTTCTTCAGTTTTGATCTCCGACCTTCCGAAAACGTTGCGTTGTTTTGCAGAATGAATACTTCCGCTATCAAAAGAGAATCTCCCAAATTCAGCGAGCGTGTTACTAGAAGAGTCAACATCTAGTTGAGGAAGGGTGTCGAGATCGAGCTGAGAGTGAGGCGAGACACTCAGATTAGACGAGATCAAGTTCGAGTTAAGCTTTAGATCAGGGGCAGCCGGACCGCAAGGGTTCAACAGGTCAAGGTCAAGACCGGGAAAGGTGAAGTCGGGAATGAAAGCTGGGTCATAGGGTACAACAAGCTCCTCGGGTCTGAAGATAATGTGAGAGTGAGCTTTGACTGTTCAAAGACTGTAAGTGCACACCTCGCTTTGCCAGCATCCACATGCAATCCCCTGCCATGAACGACTTTGAGTGCAGTCTTCATTTTGTCTAGCATGGCCTGTACGTCGGTCAAAGTGTACACGCATTGACGACTGTACACTTTGGAGATGCCGTATCTGTGTGGAATTTTCAGTAAACTTGGATTGGGCCCCCCATTTGATGGTGGGATTCCATCAATGGAAAAACGTCTTACAGAAGATTGCCTTGAAGCCGCAAGGCCATTGGCGCTTCGGGATGCATGATGGTGTCACAGGCTCGAGGGACATCCACACCCAAGATGGCTTTTCTATTGATTTTCTTGGACGTGCTATTCTGGCCCAGCGTGGCAACCAGCCTGTTGAGGAACGAGTTGGGATTGTCAGAACTCAAGCCATCGTTCGGCCGGGGATGAAATGTAAGAAAAGAACTGAAGTAGGCTGGTACTGAGGAAGAAGCGTGCTTGTGCAGAGGCAGACACTCACCAGACTGTGGCAACCCCATGTCTTTGGGATGTGAGGACTGCGCGTTGTCAAGGAAGGTGAGATCAAAAGGTCAGCTCCTGCAGGAATACATTCTCGCGAACTGAAATATAATAGAAATAGAAACAGGTGTCGAAATGGAAAGGGCTCCATGGCTGGAATGGAGCTTACTCTCGTGACTATAGAACATTTTTATGTCCTTGCGACATAAAACTGTGCAGCCGAGGAACCTGACTTGCTTGGTCTTTGGATATGGAGGAGAAACACAAAAACCAGGCGCAAGGCTAGATTACTGAATTTTGAGAGTTTCTGGTAGTATGCCTGGCCTAACTGTGAATAGCTTCATGGACAGGGAGCCTCGACAGAGAAGGTCAGGGGATGGAGGAGGAATAGAGAGGATGATGAAGAGAGAGAAGGAATAGTGAGGGAGAAGGAGGAAGACTCCAAGGACAGTGGGTCTGGTGCCAGTAGAGGAAGGTGCGTCCTGAATGGGTGGGCGAGGGAAGGAAGGAAGTCAGATGACCAAGAGAGAATCAGATATCGTAAGCTCCATTCAGTTAAAACACTATATACCGGGTATGTTAACAGTTAATAAGTCCAGAAGAAAACAATATAATTTGCAAACTTTTTTTTGTCTTTCCATCACAGCCGGGCCGACTCTATTGCACAGGCTTTCCTCACTCTTTCTTACAGGGCCTGAGACTATTCTTCACACGTCTATTCAAGCGGAATTCCCTCGTACTCCGAGTAGCCAAGGGCGAGATTCATGTTTTCTGTGGGTTGAGAGTCAGTCGGTTGTGCTACAATGTAAACAATAGCAGGGATTAAGACTTACGGAGACATTGGGTTGCAGCTCCCTTGAGCAAGTTGTCTATGGTTGCGCAGATGACTACCCTCTTGCCACTCGAGTGCACGGCAAAGCCACCAATCTCGACGCCGTGACGACCAGCGATATTCTTGACGAGAGGTGGCTCACCAACAATCTTGACCAGCTTCTCACCAGCGTAACGATCTTGGTACAGATTGCGAATATCCCGTGAGGACATCTCCTCCTTGAGAGGCAAGCTGATAGTGTGCTTTTCAATGGGTCAGAAACGGAAAAAAACGACTATGAATAACAGCTTGGGCACAACTTACATGAATACCTTGGAACCAAACAGCGACGTGAGGAACAAAGGCGACGCTGGTGCCAAGCTGAGCGCTAATCTCTCTCTCATGAATATGATCTGTCAAACTGTAAGGAACAATGTTGTTGGTCAACACGTTAACATCGTTCTTGGGGCTAGGTTTGGTGCCGGCTCCTGAGTAGCCCGACACGCCAAATACGGTGGGCTCTGTGGCCAAATGAGGTACCAAGGGTGCGATTCCAATTTGGGCAGCAGTGGCATAGCATCCGGGATTAGCAATACGGGTGGCCCTAGCAATAGTGGAACGGTTAACAAGCTCAGGCAGACCGTAGGTCCAAGAAGAGTCAAAGCGGTAGTCAGCGCTGAGGTCGACAATCAAACCACCTTTTTCAGCTCCTTGGTCCACTGCATCGACAAAAGGCTTGCAGACGCCGTTGGGAAGAGCCATGACCCAGCAGTCAATGTCGCCATTAGATGCCATTCGGCGAACATCCTCCGGGCTGAGGTTCTCGTAGATAATTTCCCGCTTGTCATAGCCTTCCAGCTTCTTTCCGGCAAGTTCACGAGATGAGACGTGGCGCAAGTCTATGTTTGGATGAGCGTTCAGAAGGTTAATAAGTGCTTGTCCGGTATAGCCACGGGCTCCAATTAGAGCAACTTTGGAGGGACGGGTATTGGAAAAGTTCTTCTCGCCAAGGGGGGGGTTGGGGTTTGTGCTATATGATCGACGGCCAGTCATGCGTGGGCTTCCATTACGATAGGTCTGCAGGGCATTGGCGCGATAGGTCGAATAGGAGCGCTTCTGCTGAGCGCCGCCACCAATATTCAAGGCTGCCTGGGCGGCACGGTGTAGCCTCGCCTCGAGGTTGTAGTCACCGAACATTTGGCGACCATGCTTGGTGAATTCAAGGACGAGCTGCTTGACCTCGTCGCCGTCTTCCAAACCATACCAGAAGAGGACATCGCCATCCCGAGACAGGCTGCCGTCTGCTTTATCGAAGAACCAGGTAAGATTCTCGTCATCAGCCTTCACGGTCCAGACAAGCTTAGGGAAGTCCTTCTTGATGCTTGTGAACACATTGTCTGCAACATTCGTAAGCCAACCTGCCTTTGTAATCGTGAAGGTGGCCAAATGCGCAAAAGCAGAGTCCTGCTGAGGAAGCACAACAGCTAGGGCATCCATGGGCTCGTCAAAGTACGCCTTGAAGGGACGATCTCCAAGACCTTCAACGTAACGATCGACAGTAGCCTTGGCATCAAGACCCTCTCGGTCGCGGATAAGAACGTTTTTAAGAGCGGCAAGATCCTCAAATTCAGAAAGAGAAGACTTGATGTGCACCTTGTTACCGCGACGGATCAAAGTACCGGCTCCGGAGTCGGTAAAGAGTTCCTTCTGAAGGTCTGCTGGGTGGATGATAGCAACACTGGATGTGCGGGGAAGGTCCGTAAGGAGTTCCTTCATTTCCTTGATTTTCAAACGTGTGCCATGTCGCACCCACCACTGTGTCATGAGATGGTCGTATTCTTCATCCAGATTTATCACAGAGATCTTCTCGCCAGTGTCACCGTTGAACAAACCGCCCTTCTCGGCAAGATAGACGATCTTCAAAGGCTGCAGAGCTCGGGCGAGTTCACCGGCAGCAACGTCGGCATTGACATTGAGGACCTGGCCCTCGGGAGTCTCAGCCATTGAAGTGAGGATTGGGAGACATCCCGCCTCAATGGCTGCCTCAATAGGTTTCTTCTCAACACCGTTGATCTTGCCAACAAGGTTGTATTTCTCCTTGTCGAGGTAATCCGCGGAGAAGACGCCGGTAGTGATGGGACGAGCACGCACGCCCATGTTCTCCAGTTCCTCAACCAACTTCAAGTTCTCCTCCAGAAAGAGCTTCCTCGCCAAGGCCAAAGTCTTGCCATCAGTGACACGAATCCCATCTTCAAATTGAGGCTCAACACCAGCATCTTCCAACATCTTATTCAATTGCGGACCGGCGCCGTGCACAACAACGGGGTATAGGCCGACATGGTTGAGGAAGGCGAGGGCAGACGACAAGGTCTGTAAATGCTCGGTGATGATGGCACCGCCAACCTTGATGACGGCGAATTGCTGGGAAGATACGGAGGTGAAATGGGAGAGATATTGCTGGACTTCTCTTTTGGAGCCGATATTGCTCAACAACTGCACCACGGTGGAGCGGGTCGAAAGCTGAGGGTCAGCGGGACGAGAGTATGAGCGGATCTGAGACGAAGCGCCGGATCGCAAAGTAGCTGTCTGTGAGCGCAGGACTTGATGAGCACTGCTAGGCAAAAGAGCTCGCAATGCAAGTGCCTGCGGTGCGGAGATAGCACGCAGCGACTGAGTCACGACGGCCCTCCGCACAGCAGGACGGATAGCAAGCATTTTGTTAGCAAGCCAGCATGCGGCAGCTTCCAAGCAGAGAAGCGAAAGTAGTCGAATAAATACTTTAAGAGGGAGCGAGGGATTAGGATAAAAAATCAATTGGGCAGTGTTAAAGAGCGCACAGAGCGATATTTTTCTCTCCTCGGTCCCTTGCGGCCGTCCGTAAAAGTTGAAAAGTAGAAAAAGGTCTAGGCAGGCGGTGTCGGAGGTGGTGGAGCCTTTCTGGACGGTGAACCACCACTGTTGATACTTGATACATACTATTTATTTGTAGAACAGATCCATTCTTTACTCCATACCCAGCTATGTCAGCTGGATATTTCAGTTTCTATTGGTCTTGAATATTATTCTTGTTTGAGCCTAGCTAGCTCAGAGTGCCGTACTACCACAGCTCTTCTCCCGGCCCATTTAGAGTCGCAAGTCATGAAAGAATCCAGCTAATTCGCATATGGTCTGACATGCACGCACGCTTCGTTCCGGCCAAACAATAATATACTTAGCACGCACGCGCGTGTGTACGTATGTATGTACATTTTATACAAAAATGCATACTGGCAGATAGTGTACTGCGTGGTTTGATCTGCATCCTCCGAGGTTCGGAGCGCTAATTGCTTGGATCAGGTACCGTAACTATTGCACTAACTATGATGTAGATCCACGACCACAACAGAAACTTCAACTTGCCTTGAATTTAAGAGTAGCGTTATAAGCACTTCTTTACGACGCCCACAGACAATGGATGGAAAAGCTCAAGCCGGGATCAAATCGTAGCGCGAAATAGCTTAGCATGTATGCATGCGCCAGGTTATCTCATTAGATTCACGTTGGAAGAAAAGCGCAAAGGTACTGAGCATAATCAAACAGACAATCAAGAGGGGGGGGAAAGCACAAAAAAAACAATCGCCAAAAGTATCATGTACAAGGTTGAGGAGTAGGGGGAATCATATCCAATTTTCACAAGCCGCCCGTGATTCCTTTCTGTTCAGGATATATTGGTTACTTGTAAGGATATGTGAGGTAACAGTATCGGCTAGGACAGAGATGGTGGTAATGATAATGGTAGTAGTAGTAGTGGTGATGGTGGTGGTGGCGTTGTTGAAGCATATCCTGAGTCATCATATCCGTATCTTATCTGCAAGACGAGGTAGGAGCTTTTTATTTTCGTTTCTGCAGTAGCGTAGCGCTTTCAAATGACCTGATATTCTTTTCTGGCCTGAGAAAGGAGCGGGGGAAAAAAACAGAGAAACGGGATCAAGGCTAATATGAATCAAGGCTGGGATGGTGGGAATGAGGAGAACCAAGAAATAAGAAAAAAACAGGCACATCGTCGGAAGAATTCGTGGAATAGAAGGATTTAGTGATGGGTTGCGACGACTGTTATAATTAAGTAAGCATGCCAGGTTGAAAGAAAAGGACACAAGAGAGAGAACTCACCAGCAGGAACAACGATAACGACAATCAAGATGATGATAACAATTATCAAGCAAACACGCATCTTCATATCCTTCCACCACATTTGTTTCCGTACTCGGTTTGCTCCTCGTCGGAAACCTTGAGCGGATACAGCCAGATTGTCCGTCTTATCCTGCAGCGAGTCGAGACGCTCGCCACGCTGAGAAACTTTGTTGATGTTCTCACGCATCACGCCCACGGTATCATCGATTTGCTATCGAAATAGTCAAGTTAGTGCAGTTCTTGAAATAAGTGATGCGTGCATATCATATATTCGAGTCGTTGCGAGCCATAGACATGCGAAAAAGGCCATAGGTAATACTCACAGCCTGCAAAGCTGCGGTCCTTTGGTTTCCATTGGGCGCAGCGCTGCCAGCACCGGCAGCAGCGCCATTTCCAGCAGCCGGGATATAAGGATCATACGGAGGTTCGCGGTCGGCCATGGTGACTTAAACAAGAAAAAGGAGACGACGATACAACAAAGCCGGGAAAAATCGAAATCTTGATGAATGCGGTTGCAAAGGCGCGAGTGAGCAAGCTCCGGTCCTCCTGAATCTCGTGAAAAGGCCGCGAATGCCGCTAGTCGTTTAGGTTGTTGGACGGACAAGTGTCAAATTTTAATCGTAGTCGAAAGGGAAGTGAGGCAAGCAAGGCGTTACGGCGATTCGTCACGTAGAGGTTCAGCAGGCGTGGTAGTGGGTATGACTGATGAAAAATAAAACCAAGATGAAAGATGCCAAAGGGTACAACTTGCGTTTCGGGCGCTGCGGCTGGGCCGGCAGTTTCACGTGACTTTACCTGCGCCTCCCAGTACCATACGCCATATAATATGCTTTTGGTGAATAGCTACGCAGGATTGCAGAGTACTATTTTTATTCTTGTGGCATAACTGTCGCTGTTTCACAGTACTCTGTTCCGTATACGGCTAGTTATACGCTTAGTGAGTGAAACTTGCAATTTTGTGCTTCTCGTGGATGAAACACAGATGGTCGGAGAGATGTCTCAGGCAGCACCGTTCTTGATCCGGTAGCGCCACCACTGCCATCGCCACCCAGCCACACTTGTGCCACTCACTGCTTGAGCAATTGAAAGAGTCTGGATGATTGATTGCAGGTAGATAAATGCCTTCTGTGCTTCTAGCTCCGGCTGCTTGCCAGACTAGTCTCCAGACAACATCGATAGGACGTTAGTATAGTTTCTACAGTATAAGTTCTGGTACATGGATGATGCATCAGCGCGCTCCAAGTAGAAGCACCGACTTATTAGCTATATATTTATATACATTTCAAGAGAACAACAGCTCGGACAACGCTTCATTCTGATCTGCGCGAGTTATTCCATCCACTCGGCATTTTCACCCACAGAAATTCCCCCTATCAAACCGCCTACCCTGTCAACGCTAGTCCCTAACAGGCAACTCCCTTGCAGTTAGGGCTTCTAGCTGAGAGAACGACGTCCAACAATTCCGCTCACTCTTTGGCTGGGTTGACGGATAAAATGAGGGGAAAGAGGCAAACAAGCTTTCTCCGCATTATCACTATTTTTTAGTGTCTTTACTAAGCTTGCACCGACCTTTTCTAATGAACCGGGGGGATATGTATCTCCAGGGGATACGGTCTTACGGAACAATGGGGAAGAACCTTTGCCTGCAGCTGCATAGTGTCGCCCCCCCATGCTTTAGGAAAGTAAATTTGCGGTTACTTATTGTGAGTGTGGGGAAAGTTGATCGATTTCCTCCATGCATGATTGCCCAAGACCGGGTCGTATACCGTAGGTATATAAAGGACTTGCCTACACCCTGTTAACATAGATTCGAGTCTTTCCAATCCAACCACCCGCAGAAAAGACAAATATAGACAATGTGGAGGCCAATTTCAACTCTCCAATTGCTGCTTGTTGTCGCCGCAGTAGCAGCACCCGCAATTGAAGAGATATCTACATCCATCTCGCGCAACAACCGCGTTAGCCCCAAGCCTCCCTTCAGTCCACTGCCTGATACTTCCAGTCGCAGCAAAGTATGCAAGGTAGACTCTTACGGTGATGGCCGAGATGACTCTGACCATATCCTCGCTGCATTGAAAAAATGCAACAATGGCGGACGTGCCGTGTTTGATAAGCAGTACACCATCGGGACAGCGCTGAATCTGCAGTTTCTGAAACATATTGATCTTGGTAAGTTACCCTACCTAGGTACTATTCGTATATATGCGATGAGTGATATGATCTGACTATGCTATTAGACATAACCGGGTACATCCAATTCACCAACAACACCGACTACTGGATCAACAACGCCTTCCAGCAAGTATTCCAAAACGCCACTACGTTTTTTGAACTGGGCGGTCAAGACGTGAACATCTACGGCGACGGCACCATTGACGGCAATGGACAGGTTTGGTATGACCTGTACGTGGAAAATGCTTTGTTGCAGCGGCCAGTTCTCATGGGAATCACGGGCTTGGATGGCGGCACTATTGGGCCAGTCAAGTTGAGGAATTCGCCATCATGGTTCCATCTCGTGGCTAATTCGTCCAACGTTTTGTTTGATGGGCTGGATATCTCGGGGAAGAGTACGAGTGTGAATCCGGCTAAGAATACGGATGGATGGTGAGTACATCAGCTTATCTAGGTATGTACTTGTGTGATGCTTTGATTATGCTTACCTTGAACATATAAGGGATACCTATCGCTCGGAGAATATTGTCATCCAAAATTCCGTAATTAATAATGACGATGGTATGTACTTTTTCCATTCTTGCCGCTGCATACTAAATGAGAATACAGACTGCGTCTCATTCAAGCCAAACAGCACCAATATTCTTGTCCAGAACCTGCAGTGCAACGGCTCTCACGGCATCTCAGTTGGATCACTAGGCCAATACATTGGCGAAACCGACATTGTCGAGAACGTGCTAGTGTACAACATATCCATGTTCAATGCTTCTGTTAGTCTCTACATGTATCCCTCTCCAATTCCCTACAAACCATATCGTACTAACGTATTACAAAGGACGGCGCACGCATAAAAGTCTGGCCAGGCATCTCCTCCGAACTCTCTGCCGACCTGCAAGGCGGCGGCGGATCTGGCAGCGTGCAAAACGTGACATACGACACCATGTATGTGGACAACGTCGACTGGGCCATTGAGTTGACTCAATGCTACGGCCAGAGCAACGTGACGCTGTGCAATGAGTATCCCAGCAATCTCACCATTTCGGATATTTTGTTTAAGAATTTCACTGGCGTGACGGCGACGGCGGAGGATCCGAATATTGCGACGTTGGTTTGTTCGAGTTCAAGTGTATGCGTGATTTCTATCATACTTTTTTTTTTTTTTTTTTTTTTTTTTTTTTTTGCGAGTGTTACTAATGATTGGGCAATTTGTAGGTATGTTGGGACATATACGCCGAAAATATCAATGTGGTTAGCCCGATTGGGACGAACGATGCTGTTTGTGAGAATGTAGGTTCTTTTCTTCTTTATTTTCCAAGCCTTGTGATGATGCAGATTATCTCTAACAGTCCTAACAGGTTGAGGAGTCATTGCTTCAGCTTAACTGCACATAATCCTGATTGTCTGTCGGATACTACCTAGGTACAAGCTATAGCTAGCTACTTGAGCAGATCTTGTGAGAGATGAACACTGGAAACCCCGATGAAGGCCTAGATGAAACTTCAAAAGTTTGTATATACTACGTACATTGATTAATATATTGCATAATATGGGATCACCAGGGATCAACCTCTGGGTACGGTGGACATATCTAACGATCCATTTCATGCCCTCTCTCCTGAACGCCGATTAGAAACCTCCAAATATCGCTAGTGATATCTCTTGATTTTTAAGTTTGCATAACAACTCAAATCCGAACCAAAGGAGGGGGGTTAGATATGAAAATCAATCGTTATCATCCAGTAACAGCACTTTCAACTTCCCCAGCTTATCTTCGCATTTAATCTCCATTTGCATAATGACATCGACACTATGTTTTTTGGTGATGAGCAGATTGGCTACCTGCCAAAAGTTGTATGCTGTCTTATTAAAGCCTATCGCGGCCCATTCGTCTGCTGGAATTCGCGTTCGTAAATCGGCCCATAGTGTCCGCCAGCGACTGAGCGCATTGCGAATGCTGACGACAACCGGGTCGTCTGGCAAAGACGGTTGTTGAGAGTTATAAGGACTACTTGATGCTCCATTGGTTGTATTGTTATGTTTAATGCCCAATATGGGTGCCAAAAGGGTCATGTGGGAGCTAATATATGAGTAAAGAACTGAATCCTACCAATTAGCCTGCATCTTCTTATCGGTAGGAATGAAAGAATATATGCTTACGATGTATTAAGAAAAACATGTCTGTAACCGTGAAGCTCATTCCAAGAGATGAATAATCTTGGTGTTGATTACGAGAATGATCATCATATTTTCCACTGCTCGATCCCGCCTGGCCATTCTGGAAGAGATACCGAAAGGCTTCATAGATGGTGGTTTCTCTGGTAAAGCGGAAGTTCGGATGAGAGAAAGGATGTTTAGAGCCAAATATTGTGTCTTCGCATGGCAAATCACATTCCAACTCCGCCGGTGTAAGCCGACAAGGAAAGTTGGAATAAAAAGAAAAGGCACAATCAAGCAACGCAATGATATTCATAGTCCTATGAAAGTCAGTAAGCAGACTAAATCCTCTAGTGTTCAGGCAAACACACCGGATACGACACTCCTTCTGGATCCACAGCATCTCATGAAGACTGTCTTCAAGCAGATGACGGCATTTTGTAAGCCCCATTCTGCGTGCTGTCTGTAGAATTATTAGTAATTTGCTCAGGGCAGTGTCGCATAAACTTACCAGAATAATTTCGTTGTACCGAACTTCCATTGCCCTGTTGCGTGACATCTTTGAGCCCGCCCAATACTGAGTGACTACCATCACAAATGCCGCCTGTAGAGTCTGAAGGGAAAGCCAATCTGCCCGTTCCGTATCTGTTGTTGGCCTGCCAACAAATGTACGGCTGATCTCGTGTTCGCACGAAAAGATATCGGCGGAGAATACATACAACTCAGCAAAGTCTAGCATTCGCCGCGCCACGAACGCCTCGTGTTCGTCATTTGAATACATAGCTTCCATAAAGATAACCGAAGCGAGTAAAGGCATTGAAACTTGTTCGAGGCTGAATGATGGCACATGAATAATGTTGCAGTTGCGATGCCAGTATTGAAAGTATAATGATACGAACTTGTGAATCCGGTGTGTCGTCAAAAGAAAATGGAGGCTCGATGAAATCTCTTGTTGTGCATTGGCGTCTATGCCTATTGTCCATGCAGTGGCTAAAATTGCTTGAATGAGCGCCTTTGAGAAAGGGTTCTCTGACTCGTAGAAAGAGGAATCACCAGCCATGCCTCCAGTTTGATCTTGACCCAAAAAATTCACTGTATCAGCATTAAAACTACCAGGGAAATGATCTGTAATTGACCTTTGATGCTCTGGAAAGGGGCCGGTTATCAAAGACATGAAGCTTTCTTCAAATGACGTCAGATCGTCAAAATCCGAGGACACATTCTTGAGATTGGCGGTATTTGTAGCTTCTTCCAACTCTTTCTGAGTGTGATACTGCATGCCCCGAGCGCGGTCGCTGCGCGGAGGAAGACGAAATCTTTCAGTGAAACTATCCGTACCGCCATTGAGAAGAAAGCGGATCGATCCTCGATCGGACAATTCCAACTCTTCGTTCTTGAGAAGCGAGGCTTCTGTAGCTGTTTTGCCGTTAGCAATCGACTTTATTCCAAGCATAACAGTTATTGAGTGTACATTTTGGACTTTCAATTTTAGCTTTCGTCTGTTTGACAACGTTGTTGCACTGGAATTTTCGCTTGATACATGAGCTGCATGGACCTTGTCCATCACAGCGGAGCTTCATAGACATGCACTAAGTCCCATTAGAGATCCATACATTGTCTACCAGTAGAAAAAAAAAACATACTGATGCACAAGCGTGTCGGCGTCTACCGCGTTGACCGGTTTCTGGAATTGGTTGATCTCCTCGCTGGGGACATTCCGTGTAGTGAATACGCAGATTATCACTGAATCCATTAGCTCTGTAAAAGTACAATTTTTGAGAGAAATGCGGGTGCTCGATTTACCATCGCGCAAATGCTTCGCTACAAAAGACGCATGAATACGGTTTCACGCCGGAGTCTGCAATTGGTCGGTCAGACACATTTTTAACCCCCACGACATTGGCATGACGAGGGGATATGCAGCAAAAGAAAGCACTCACGTCGCAGATGATGTCGCTTCAGGTGGTCAATGCGAGTGAACGATCGCTGGCAGACATTGCAGCGGAAATTCTTGTCTGACGCTGGTTTCATCATGGGGAAAGGAGAGGAAACATTTGGAGGCAGCTCCGGCGGGGAGCTTGCATGCAAAGCTTTCTGGAGGGAGTATAGCTCGAGTCGCAGAAACAGTCCGATAAAGACCGGTTTGTGTCAAATGAGTGCTGAATACGCAGCGACAATCATGCCTGCTGCAGAGATGAGAAGCACGACGTTTAGCGATCTCCAGAGGTTAGCCCCCTTGGGCTAGCGTGTAATGTATGAATGTCGAAGGCCCCCACTCAAAAGGAGCTAAGCTATTTCCGGCGTTCCGCCCGTTATTTAGTGAAAACTAATACAGATACGGTATGGCTGGATACAGCGAGCACCAAACAAGGAAGGACCCTGGCGCCTCCCAGCCTTCCTGCCTGGGTAACTACATGATTATATAATCCTATGCATATGCCAGTTGAGAGCACCGGCAAATACCTGACGATCTGTGTGGTGTTCTGCTCATCACCTTGCGCTTTATTCTTTTCTTTTATTTCTTTTTCTTTGTCTAGAGCGGGGGATTCGGGTGCCAACAAGGCTATCGACATGATGGCAGCGATAAAAGACAAAGACTGCCTGCTCGCCTTCCCTACAAAATCTCCGCGTCTTCGCACACAGAAGAAATAGCTCTTTCCAGTTTCCCGCATACCTGAGATCTTATGCTCTCTGGGCAGAAACATTGAGAAACAAAAACCAATCGCAAACACTACGGGCCCATCAACATATGACCAATACTATCATGCTCGCCCGAAACATCGTCGAGGACAGACCGGTGGATAGTGCTCGTCCAATTAGGGTTGTAGTCATGGGAGCCGGACTATCAGGAATAATCTCCTGCATTCGACTGTCTCAACGAATTAAGAATATAGATCTTATTGTGTACGAGAAGAATGCTGATGTTGGCGGAACCTGGTACGAGAATCGTTATCCAGGCTGTAAATGTGGTAAGTAGAGCGGATGACAACGCTTGTTGCTACAAATAATACATACTTACGGAAGGATTTAGATGTCCCATCGCATACCTATCAAGCAACTTTTGAACCCAATTTAGAGTGGTCGCACTTCTATGCCAATTCGAAAGAGATTTATCAGTATTGGAAGAAAGTGGCCGTGAAATACGGCTGCATGAAATACATCAAGCTCAAACATAGAGTTGTCGAGACATGCTGGAGCGATGAGCGTGCGCAATGGAATTTAAAAGTGCAAACCGAGGATGATTCCGTAATCATCGACTCATGCAGCGTCTTCATTTCTAGTGTTGGAGGGTTGAATAACTACAAATGGCCTGATATTCCCGGGCTGCATGATTTTCAAGGAAAACTGATGCATACGGCCGCTTGGGATGAGAATTATGATTACAAAGTGAGCACGCCTTATATTCTACAGTTGTAATCAGGTCTGACAGGCTTCCAGGGAAAAGCAATTGCCGTCATTGGAAATGGGTCGAGTGGAATACAAGTGGTTCCGGCAATACTTCCGGATGTCATTCATATTGACCATTATGCCCGTAACAGGACGTGGTTGGCCACTACTTTTGCCCGTGACAAGCTTGAAGAGATGAATGGGCGTGATAATGATATAGAGACTAGTCAGTCTTGTTACATGCCCCTTTCTTATTCAAACCAACGTGGCCTAGTCGCTTTCACTACTGAAATAATTGCCCAATTCAAATCCGACCGAGCAGCATATCACAAGTTCAGAAAGGGTTAGTGCGTATGAGAAGTAGCCTGTTTGGAGCGCACTAACAAGTAATAGACATTGAGCACAATTTGCAGAGCAATTTTTCTGTAACCATACGTGGGACACCAGAACAACTTGCCGGTGAAGAATACTTCAAGGCAATTATGAAGCGACGTCTGGCCAAGAAACCCGACTTGTTTGATCAAATGCTTCCGTCATTCCCTCCTAACTGTCGTCGATTGACACCGGGACCAGGCTATCTGGAAGCCCTAACGGACGACAAGGTCGAGGTGATTAAGACTCCTATCAGCAGCGTTGATGCTACTGGTATTCGTACAGTGGATGGAATACATCGAGCAGTCGATGCTATTGTATGTGCGACGGGGTTTGACACAAACTTTTTACCCCGTTTCCCTCTCACCGGGCATAATGGAGCTTCTCTCGCAGAGAAATGGAAAGAGATACCCGAAACATACATTTCCCTTGCGACAAATGATTTTCCAAACTACTTTATTTGCTTGGGACCAAACGGCAATGTTGGACATGGAAGTCTTACATTGCTGATCGAGAAGCAAATCGACTACATAACGCAATGCGTGGCAAAGATTCAGCGCGACAACATTCGCTGGATGGCCCCTTGCAAAGGAGCAGTTGAGCAATTCACGAAACACTGTGAGCAGTATTTTAGCAAGACGGTCTTTGTTGCACAATGTTGTAGTTGGTACAAGGCAGGAAATAAGGACGGAAGAATCATTGCCCTCTGGCCTGGTGAGTTCGCGTCTTACTTTTTCTTTCTCGGTATGCGAGCTAATTGATGGGCCTGTCTAATCAGGATCTACTCTGCACGCCTCAAAGACATTCAGTAACCCACGCTGGGAAGATTTCGAATATGAATACATCAATGATAACCCCAACGGCTGGATCGGCGATGGCTGGACGGCAGCCGAGAAAACGCGGTCGTTTGATGTTGATTATCTTGATGACGATCAGGTTGATTCCCCGCCGGTAGAAGTAGTAGACGAAGTTTGCTCTACGTCCTAAATGATGGTTGTTTTGGATTAGTTAACTTACACACAAGCTACACGCAGCCAATGCATATGAGTTATTCTATGAGTGGTAGATCTTTAAGAAAAAGAACGAATAATAACAATAATTGCATTATCTAAGTAGCTGCAGCTCAAGTACAGACAACCAGGTCATCACTCATCATGCACTTTTTCTCCAGATAACTGACATGCACACGGAAGCCAGCGTTCACAATAATACAGTAAACCACCTAAGTTTGTAGAGCTGAAGGATGAATCTGACGAGACTTCTCCGTCCACACGACTTGCAATAATGACCTCTCATTTCAAACACAGGGCTTGTCTCACTTTCGCATTAGATTGGTTGCGGCGCAGGACCAATTCCACATCCTCCGTACGCAGAGTCCAGGAATTGGTGATTTTCATCTCTTTGTCGGGATTCACGAGCTCGATCTATAGTGACATGAAACACAGAAAAAGGTTAGTCGCCTAATATTAATAATCGAGAGAGTGTGTGAATGAAAAATAAGTGCAAGGGAGATATACGTCAAAACTGGCAAAAAAGGTAGCCACAGTCTTGTATAGCTCTACAAGCGCAAGACTTTGACCGAGACAGACCCGTGCTCCCATACCGAATGAGAGCACGGTGTTGAACATCTTCTTTAGTCTATATTCAGCAAAATCACGTCTTTCATCGTGAAACGGGAGCCAGCGTTCGGGGACAAATGAGTCGGGGTTTGGTCCGAATATATCCTCGTTACGATTGATGACCCATGCATCCATCCCAACAATAGTGCCGGATGGGACAAATCTGCCGTCTGGAAGTACGAGGCCGCTATGACCATTGCCTTTTTCTCCGGATTCTCCTAGTTCTGCGGGTACTTCGCGTTCCAGAATGAGGGAGAAGCCGGGGTGGATGCGGATTGCTTCACGGATCACGGCTTCGAGATACACGAGACTTTTTGCTTGCTTGTAGCTGACTGGCTCGGAAAAGCCAAGTAAACCGACAGATGCAAGTTCGTCACCGATCTTCTCGTATACGCCCTTGGTCTTGAGGACGTAGTATACCAGAGCAGTAAGGGTGTATGCGGCTGGGTGACTTCCGGCTACGGTGTTTGTCAACAGATAGCCGATCATTTGGCCGTGGTCGATGAGCTCTGGGTACTTTTGCTGTGCTTCGAGGTATTTGTCGAGGAAATCGTGTTGAATTTTAGTCTCTGGCTTTTCATTCTGCTGCTGCGTTCGCATTTGGAGGCGTTTGCTGTAATGTCCGAAGCTGAGATTGACTGCCCACTCGAGCTGTGGTGCACGCAGAGCTCGCGCAATTCTGTTCGTTTTCAGAATGTAGTGGAGCCATGGCATTTGTGATGTCTTGGATATGTAAATCATCAGCATGCGAATTGTCTCTGTAAGAATGAATACGTACCTTGGCGAAATAATCAAAGTCGCGATCCGAGTCACGTAGAAGCACTTCTGAATTTTTGAGAGAGCCGTCGAGAAACCCAAGGGGAGCACCAAAAGTGGTATCGCCCATAGCATCCCAGGAGACTGACAAAGAGTCACTGGATTAGCTCTCGCAATAGCAAACACATAATACTTAGGTAGCAGGCATAACTCACATCTCACGAACCAATCAGCAATATCACATGGCCGTCCTGTGTTTACAAACTTCTCATTCAGGATTCTGAGCAACAGGGCGATGGAATTATCCAGGAACTTCTCTACACTCAGCACGCTTTTATTGGAGGAGAGATATGAGCTGACTGGTCTCATGACCGTTGCATGCCACTTTTCATCTGATGTCGAGAACAGATTGGGCTGAGAAGTTCCATCTGGACGCACTGACTCCTGCACCTTATACATATTGCTCTATGCGGTTCAATTAGCACTTGTGACGAGGATTGGCTAAAGGGTAGGTGACAACACTAACCTTCTTCCAGGGATTCTTGGTGTTGTAGACCAGCTTCAAAAGCGAAGGATCCGAGAGACTCAGTGCATTTGGCCCTACTCTGACAGCAGGCCCATATTTACGATGCAGGTCAGCGTGCACTAGATGGACAGATCCACCAGCTGTCTTGAAATAGCGCCAGAGGTCGGTGAAGTTGGTGCACAGAGGGCCTGGGAAGGACTTGAGGGGAGAGGAATAGTAGTTCTGGACGAACTTGAAGGACACAGCGAGGCCAGTGACGAGTACTAGACCCACGATGAGATTGAGGCACCCAGGCCAGACCGCGTTTTCCTTGACGAAGTGGACAGCGCGTGGTAGGAAGGACGACGCCATGCTGTCAGCGTGTTGATGGGCCATCCTTGACTGAAGCACGCGTGAGAGAAGTGGAGAGAGGAAGTGAGCAGGGAGGATCTGAGGGCTTATTAAGTGACAGACAGATGGGAATTAGATGCTACTGTCACTGCTGCGTTTAGCCTCGCAAAGAGCGCGCGGTAAAGAGTGAGCTTCCTTGTGTGTCCTTTTTTTTGTGCAGGGAGAAGTCCGGTGGAGTGCCGCAATTTTCAGGAATCTACAATATGAACGCATTACTACGTCTGCACGGGCTGCCTTGATGCCTTGTCACTTTGACACCAGCAGGAAACGTCCAATTTTCTCCATTAGCTTTCCTTTCATATAAAGAAGAGTCTATCTTGTTGGAGTGTCTCAACATATATACCTAATGCGTAGCCTACGTACGGGCAATTTTAGAGAATAGAAGGTCTATTTACTCGACCCTTTTGCGGCACCGACTTTTGATATTTCTTTGTTTGGACCTGATTCAGAGTACTACAAATGATATTGTTTTGCTTTGTTTGCTGGCAACATGTCAAGCAGAGACCAAGGAGCCAGCATTGTTAGCCTGCTGAGACAATATTGATGTCTCAACTTTTATTCCTCTTTTCCCTGAGCGTCATTGTAACATGTTGTTTTGATAGTCCTCCTACCCTTCTAAGAAATTGTAAATGGACGCCATGACCATAATCAATGCGCCCAGGCTCTTTTCTTTGAGCCTTTGAGGTATGTTTTAGTTGATTTGACACTAGAACATATGAGTATTACACTAAGTAGTAAGTGCAAACTCGTATCAATCGAGCCACTTACATATCAAGAAGCCCGAACAGAGATCCTCGCTTAACACAGGATATCAATACCTATGCACAGCCAGCCTTACGCGCCCGGGAATAACATCAATCCCTCCAATACAAACAAAAGAATAGTAGTAGCGAGGTGCAGAAATAGCTGTGCCCAAGACGCCCCGTGTAACCAATAACATAGCCGCCTCTTTGTGACAGACACGACTCTGCATACACATAGATCTTAGATTACCACGTATATAAACCGAAGCCGAGGGTAATAACTTGCCGGTTCGGGCGAATATGGCTGGTCTCGCTTATTCCTGAAATTTTAATTTGGACTGGCAGAGTAATGCGGTATTCACATATTGAAGTGGTTGGTACAGATGCAGGTCGTTGATAGAACCAGTGTACGCGTACGCAGCAGGTAGACTCGTATTGCGTTTGATCACATTGTAAACCACTTGACCTCGGCGGTGCACTCACCGAGAGCCCAATTCTGGTGCATATTGGGGAATTTGAAGGACAAAGAGACTTGCAGCACTTGAACTTCTACTTTTGCAAAGAGGACTTTGGCAAAGAATGCACTTTAAAGAACCGACTCCGGATCAGTAGCTTGCGGCTAAGACCGGCTGCAGTCGTGAGGCCTCATCGAGAAGGGAAGATGAGTGTGCTCATTGTTGCATCGGATATAATGTGTATTTCCAATCCTAAATCCGTGAGCGAATCAACTTCCATCTATGCAAAACAAAGCCGACTACGCCGGAAGCAGTTATTCATTCGTCTCAGCTACACAGCCAGGATTCTCCGCTGTCCCAAGCCCCCGCGGCGTAGGTGTGGGAATCCAGGTTTTCATCTGGTCAGTCAAAGAAAGCTAGAGGACCTTTGAAAACAAGATCGCTATCTAAATAATCGGGATAATGTGTTACTTTCACCGCAGCATAAAATAATCCATGCCATAGATACGAAGTACAGAGTGTTGAGCAGCCGATTTAAAATGGCGCTTTGCGCTAACGTATTTCCCGGGTGTCCCGTTTACCCGGGTATCCCATTTAACGTAATCGGACACCGGAGTGGCCCATGACACCGAGCGGCCCGCCTCCATTCGGAAAACGCGCTCTATGCGAATTTCGAGAATGAATTTCTAGCCCCCATATAAAATATATACAATTCTTTAACTAGTAGTACAATTTGGACATCAGTTAATTTTATATCCAATAATCCTATATCTACTATACTTCGCTAGCACTTATATGTGTAGTTAAAAGGCCTGAAGCTCAGATTTAACTAATATAGCTAAAATAGGCTCAGATATCTTATTTTAACTATTTATTAATTCTTAGGCTTCTTAAACTGTAAAAGACCCTTTATAAGATATTTAAGCTCTAGATTTTTTATACTTTTTTTTCTTTTTCTTATTTATAGTACATAGATTATATATTTCTTTCTAGATAATTAAGAGCTTATTAATACTTATTTTATATACTTTAGATATATAATTGATTACTTAATTAATTTTATTTAAGGGGCTTATTAGATATTTATTAATTCACTTCTTTATAGTAGTCATCTAGCGTTTGAATTGATATAGATTTTAAAGTATTTATAAGCATGAAGATTACAAATTACTTAATTAACTTAAAAGGGATATTAGAGTTTAAAGTTAAACTATAAGCTTTTAATAAATATACTTTAGATTAAGTGATATTAATCTAATTACTTTAAAGCTATTCTAAATATTTTTAGCTTTATAGACTATTATATAAGCCTCTAGAAATACTATTGTGACGGCCTAGTACGATTTGGCTTGGCGGCACACGGTTACTGCGGAAGTACCCGTGGGCCGCCTCCCATGGACGAATCACATGCAGGGAAGATATGGGGCTAGATATGCCTTATAGGGATTACCCTATATTTTAATTCATACTATAGATTGCTAGAGGATCTATATAATATTAAAAAGAGTAAATAGCCTTTACCAGTCAGTATTCTATATTATTAGAATCTTCTAGAAATCTAGATTATTAGATACTAACACACAACAGAGATAGCTTATAGGTATCTAAAATAGAAAAAAGTATAAATAAAAAAAAAAAAATTAATAATTATTCTTTTCTTTTCTTCTTTCTAATTTAATCTCTTCATATTTAGTAATCAAATAGATTTAGTATTATATTATTATATTAAATTAAACTCTTATTTATTTATTAATACTAATCCTTATAAATCTATAAGTAGATTAACATCTTAATTTTAAATAACTTAATATACTTAATTTAAGATTATTTTTTTTCTTATCTTATTATTCTTAAATCAAGATTTAAATTCTAGACTTAGAAACTAAAATAATTTAATTACTTAAATTAATATTAAAGAAGTTAAATAAATATTGCCTATTATATTTTCTTTTAGAAATAAAAGATAATAAAGAATAAAAATTTTAGAATATTAAATATAAGATATTTAAGAAATATATAGATAAGAATCTAGCTATATTATTTAGTTAATTAATATAAGAATAATATAAGAATCTATACTAAATTAATATATTAAAAAAGCAACAAGATACTTATAAAAAGATTATTATAAATTAGTATAAAGTAATAAAAAAATTAATAAAAAAATAAAATCTCTTATAATATTAATTTATTAAATTAAATCTTAAAGAACTCTCTTTTATTATTAAAAATAATAGTAAAAAAATCACTAAACTTTCTAATAGACTAACCCTAATTAATAGAAAAGATCTCTTCTTTAAATTCTAGCTTATTAAAATTAAAAATAAATTAAAGATTAATATTAACTATTATCTAAACTTTTTAATCTATATAGTATATATATAATATATATATCATAAAAAAGTAATAAACTATATTCTTTCTTAATTCTAAAATAATGTTATTAAATTATATAAGAATATTAAAAATATTTTTAAATATCTTAAGACTATCTATTATAATATAAATTAAGTTATTAATATAAAAGCTATATTTTATTATTTAATTATAAAACTAAGTGACTAATTTTAGATCTTTCTATTAATATTTATATATTATACTTAAGAATTAGAGACTTTATATATATAATAAAAAAATAAATTATATAACAAGCTAAATCTTAAGTTAATAAAATTAATGATTAAAGAGATAAATAATAATAATATCTCTTACTCTAAATTTATAATTTAGTATACTTAAATAATTAATTACTTAGAATAAATTCAAGAAATTAAGAAGTATATTTATTTATATAATAATAGAGAAAGTCAAACTATAAGAATACTATATAATTAATCTAATATTAATACTAATAGCAGCTTTAATAATAATAATAAAGAAACACAATATAATTACTTAAGTAAGAAAAAATATACTAAACTCTTTAAAGAAAAAAAATATTATTATTATAAGATTTAAAAATATTAAATTAGTAATTACCCTCTTAAAAATAACTAATTTAAAAATAACAACTCAAAACAATAGATAAGAATAAGTAGATTATTATCTAGAAAGAAAATTCTAATTCAAAAAATAATAATATCTAGAAAAAATTTTTATCTTAAATAAAATTTATATTAATTTATATAAATTAGATATTAAATAATTAATAAAATTTAATAAAGAAAGTTTTATTATATTTATATAACTTACCTAAGAAATATATTTAATATCTATTAAAGTATTAATTAATACTAAAGTAAATAAATTAGTATTTATTAATACTCACTTAGTTATATTACTAGCAAGATTTTTTAATCTTAAGATAATACTCTTAAAAGAGCTAGTAAGAGTAAAAGAATATAATAAGAAAAAATAAAATAAAATCTCTTATATACTTAAATTAATATTAATTATTAATAGGAGATATTATATCAAAATATTATTTCTAATCCTTAATATTAGAATATATAATATAATACTAGATAAAATATAGCTCATTAAATATAATATCTTAGTAGATTATTAGAACTAATAATTAATTTAGTCTAAAGATATCTTTCTAAAAAATTAAGCTATAAAAATTAATTACTATATAATTCCTAGAGCTATTTTGTAATAATTAAGAAATATTAATCTATAATATTAGAAAAATATAATATATTATAATCATCTTATAGAAATAGAGAATTAAATAATAAAAAAATTTAATTTAAGCTGCTCCTAGGCCTAAAGCCTAAAAGTAAAGAATTTTATTAATTAATTAAAAACCTTAAAATTTAAC